TATATATATATATATATATATATATATATATATATATATATATATATATATATATATATATATATATATATATATATATATATGTATATATTATTTCAATTTATTTGCATTTAAATAAAAATACAAAAAAGTGATACAGGTAATTGGAGAATTACTCTTATGTAACACCAAGTTTAAAACAGTAAACAGTATATATATATATATATATATATATATATATATATATATATATATATATATATATATATATATATATATATATATATATATATATATATATTTATTGTAAATTTATTTGCCTTCGATAAAAGTAATTAAAATTACAGAATAGCTTTATTACAAATATAATCGGCAGGACTTCCAGAAGATCATACGATCTTATCATGAAGCCCTTTACAATATCAAATAATATAATAATAACAATAACATCAAATTATACAATAAAAATCAACATAAACTATTTATAACTGTGCATTTAAAATATAAATATACTGGATAAATTATATGAAATATGTGAAGCAAAAAAACTAAAAACAAGAAAAAATATTTTCTGCTGAAAAGATAACTTCTTTTAATTTTCGTTTGAAAAAAGTTAAAGTCCATTTCAATGACAAATCAAAATTTGGCAAAACTATTTTATTCCATAAATAAGGACCGTGATAATAAATAATTTGTTGTTCAAATTTAGTTTGGCAGAAAGGTTGTTGTAGATTTTTTCCATTGCAAAGATTGTATTCGTTTATGAGTTTTACATTATAAAGATTTATAAATAAATCAGGAGATAAATGATTTTTACATTTAAACATGAAACATAAAATATTATAAACATGTAGTTCGTATACATTTAAGACTTTCATTTCTCTCAGAAGTGGTTTTGAAAGTTTGAAAAACGATTTTCAAAATTAATTAAGCTGCGTGTTTCTGATGCTGATAAAGAGATTTAAGTTTAGTTTTGTGCGCGCTGCCCCATACAATATTTGCATAATTTAAATGGCAGTGGATAAACGAATTATATAGTTGTTTTAATTGTAAAAAAGTGTTTTATCAATATTGAGGGAAAATATGTTTTTCTTAAATGAATATGAGATTTTATTTAATTCTTGTGTCATACTATCAAAAAGTGTATTTATGTTTTCATGAGATTGGAATAGGTTTGTGTCATCAACATATATATATATATATATATATATATATATATATATATATATATATATATATATATATATATATATATATATATATATATATATATATATATATATATATATATATATATATATATATATATATATATATATATATATATATATATATATATATATATATATATATATATATATATATATATATATATATATATATATATATATATATATATATATATATGCATTATAATTATGAATAATTCTATACCTTTATTTTCATCAATAACTTTTTTTTAATTTTAAAAAATTCTTTTAATTTAAAGTTTAATAAAACATGTGAGTAAATTGAAACTATTTAAGTTTAATAAATTAGACTTTTTAATGTTTTTAATTAGAAGAATCGCATATTTCGTATTAAGTTTTATTACATATTGTTTACAAATTTAAAAATCTTCTTTTTATTATACTAATCTCTTTTTTTATTTTATTACTATAATCTTAACTTAATTAAAGGAGTTTAATGAATGGTAACAAAAATCTTTTCTTTTTTTTTTTTTTTTTTTTTACTATAAAGATAAACAAAACGAGTAAACAATTGCTGAAATTAACTATTTGCGACACTATTTTCTTTTTTTTTGTTTATGACACTATTCATTAAATTCATTTGCCACACTATTCCTTTTTTTTTTTTTTTTCGTTTTTGACACTATTCATTTAACTCTTTTGCAGCATTATTCCTTTTTTATTTTCAACACTATTCATTAAATTAATTTGCAGCATTATTCGTTATTCTGTTATTCGACAATCAATAATGCATAAAACACCAAATAAAAGAACTTTTATTGAGTATTGGCTAATTCTTCATATCAAAATAAAATCCGAATAATACCTAATTCAGGTCCTATAGGTTTGAACATACTGTTGAACTCGATAACCACCAATAAAATCTCAATATTCTAGATATTGATATTACAAACAAAATCAATGGAGCTTATGAGTTTCAAATACATTGAAAAGAAGCAATAACTAATATTCAACTTAAACCTTACTTAAACATCAATTCTATTATTATCACTGGCATATTCAATTGATTTTTAATAAAAATGTTTGTTGAAAACGAGCAACACAAGAACAATCTAACTAATTTTGCAAGAGGCTATATAAAAAAAGGTTTAAAAAATAGCAATTATCAACTAACTGACAACCAATCATTTATAAAGCATCCATGGATACCAGTTGTTAGTCCCAAACTAAGAAAAGAATTTAGAAAACAAAACATAAAAGTTATATTCACATTAGCTCCAAATTTAAACAATATATTCTGCAAGACTAAAACAAAACTTCTTCTAAATACAAACCCAGGCGTCTACCAACTAAGATGTTCATGCAATTCTATATACATTGGTGAAACAAATAATATATATATGTCAAGATGTATTGAGCACGAGAAAAGTAGTATAAAAGGAAAATGAGCCAGTTTGGGTGCTACTAAACATTCCAAATCATGTCAAAGCATGTTTGATTGGTTTCATTTAATTTGTTCCAAAATATCATATTCAAAAATTTATTAAGTTTTAGGTTATTCAATAAACATGTACCAGAACAATAATCAGTACTAGAAATTGTTGTATTCAAACACAATACTGACACCTTATCATTTGCATTCCACTCTTCTAAACCCTGATTGACTGCAGATGTTAAGTTCAAATTTAGAGCTAGGTTGTTTTAAATACTTGGTGAGGTCACTGATTGCATAATGAATATTATAAAATAGATTAGTATATGTATATTGAAAAACTGATTTCTGAGTGATTATTGAAAAACGTCAAAACATTGATATTCAATAAGTTTGTGTACTTTCTGATTAAAGTTTTTGCTATCAAAGTAATGTCAATAAATTTTACTACACCGGCGTTTGGTTGAGTATATGTAATACAATATCAATTTTTTTAGGTATAAATAATTAAAATAAATCCTGCAGGCAGACTGGGGCTTGTTGGCTGCAAGTGTTAGTTGACAAATTGCGTTTAACTTCAGAGTCTTCTATTAGAAAATGCAAGAAATTACACGAAACTTTCTTAATTGACGACCTCAACTTTTACTTTAAATTTTAGAGATTTTGACATGCGTATAGGAGTAATTACGATGTGTTTTTTGAACAAAAATGTAACTTCTTAAGCACCGTTATCTTTTTGCTTTACAAAGAAAAAAAGTTTAAAAAGCTTCTATTTATAATTAATTCACTCTTTCATTCCTGTTTTTTTATCCACACTTTTCATTCATTTTTTTCTAACAGTTGCTGTTTTTCAATATTTATAGGTTGTTTATTGAAAAAAAAAAAGCAATTGGGTTTGGTCGGCAAATGTTTTACGGGGTCTAGTTCGCTTTTATTAACAAAAAAAAAAAAAAAAAAAAGATTATTTTTAAGAAGTATTTTAGGTTTTGATTGTATTTTAGGTTTTGTACACTTTTTAAAAAAAAACTCAGCACATTTGATAATTGAAGACTAGAGTTAAACTGATGTTAGTACATTTTATTTAAACACGAATAATTGGAAAGAAGAATCTCCAGTGTAGATCATAAGCAATAAAGGTTTTTTGCCCTACATTTAGCTTTCATTATTTTGGTTACTTCTTTCTCATTAGTTTATGTATTTCTTCATATTGTATGTCAAATTGATTGATATATAATACAAAGATTGATATAGGAACGCTTTTTGCACAAAAAACCGCAATAACTCCTTAAGGAATAACAATGGCAGTAGAGTGCAACAAGGTTTTGTTTTTTTAAAAGCTTTTTAAAACAACGTAGTTTCTCAAAATAGAATATTTTATCAAAATAAGTTGAGATTTTATATTTACTTTCTTTATTTGTTTGTATTTACTTTATTGATTATCTATTTTATCTTTCAAGATAAAATAAAAACCATTTTGTATTAAAATGCTTTGTTTAAAAACAGTCTATAATAATGTGATTATTTATAAGACTGTTTACTTATAGTATCATTTTACTAATAGAGTAAAATGATACTATAAGTATCATTTTACTCTATTAATCTATCCAGAAAATCGGTAATAAAAACTCGATAAAAAAAATTTGTTAGATAAAACCAGAATTAATTTCAAATTGTACGCAAAAAAAAATTAACTATTATATAAACAAACTAAAATTAACTATTTTTAAAGAACTCTTAAAAATCATGGTCACTCACTTCAACCTCTTGTTTACAAAAAAAAAATATTCAAAAATTAGTTGCAGTCATTACAAACTTTATTTTTCTACAAATTGAATTTGTTTGTTTTGATATATGATGCTTACAATCAAGCGCTGTGAAGTTCATTTATTGAATAAACTATTTTGAGGCGTAGTAAGTGCATATACATCAATTGATTTTTAAGACATAAGCTGATTTTACATACATTGACAGACTTATAAAGCGATTAGCGCAGCGATTTATAGGCTCATTGATTTATAGCCGCATTGTGATTACATGCACCAACTGAAATTTTTATTAATGGTTAACGCGCTTTCAGTTATAAGATAAATCTTTCCCACATTTCTAAATTTATTCCAATTTTAAGGTTATTTTTAGTTCTTAACTTTTAATTTAAACTAAAAATTTATGGGTAAACATTTCATACCCATGGGTAAACTTTTCATACCCAGGTAAAGTTTTTTGGCAGTTTTTTTTTTTTTTTTTTTTTTTTTTTTTTTTTTTTTTTTGTCATTAATTTTATTTGCTATGTAGAATATACACTCAGTGTTTATTAAATTAAAAATAAACGGTAAACTCATTGTTTATTAACTAAAAATCAAAAATATCAACAATTATATCTATTTAATTAAAAAATTTACCCAGCCACTAATCGGGCTTTCTTTGCACCAAATTTATCAATCAAAATACCAATTGGAAATTGAGTGCATATGCAAACTGCTGACACAGTGAAAACTAAGTTAAACATTATGTCTTGTTGATCACAGTTTTGTCTGTCTGGCTCCATCCTATTTGGTATTAAAGTTGAGTTTGGATGAAGAACCGAAGAACAAAGTTTTGCATAAAACTTCTTTTTTTTAAATATGACAACAATACTTGCCCAACCATATATTATTCCAGAACATAACAGAGTTTCCAACAAAATATAAATAAAAAAAATCCATTGATAGAGCTTGCTATGAACGTCACGAAAAATCATCTTCTTTTAAAAAAAAAAACTTAAGGTTATTGTAGAAATCAATTTTTCACAAAATTCTCTTTAGGGATTATCCATAAATTACGCAACGCAAAACTAATTTTAAATATATCATTTTACTCTTTTGTGCGGTGGTTTTTGCTGGACTTAAAATGTTCTTTATTTATTGGGTTTAATTAAAGACTCTGCGACAGAAAACTTTTGATCCTTTGTCTTTTGTCTATAAGTTTAATTTTGCGTTACGTAATTTATGGACGATCCCTTACTCAATAATAAGCGTAGTGCATAACTATTAAAACTGTTGCTTTTAACTATAAATCAGTGGCGGATTGAGGTTTAGTGTCACGGGGGGGGGGGCAAGTCAATAAATAGGGGCGACCGGGGTTGCCTTCAGTAGTTTAACCTTATATATATATATATATATTTTAATTGTTTTAGGGGGCGTCGTTAGACCGTTTTAGGGGGGCGTGGGGGGCAGCTCGCCCCCCCACGCCCTATACTAATTCCGCCACTGCTATAAATAGATTAAATTTTTTCTTGAACCAGTAAAAGAATAAATCAGTTAAATACACAAAAAGTACAAAAAAACTTAAATACTTTTTTAATACAACTTGAATAAAATGTTTAATAATATCTATTTTAAATAAAAAATTTTTTTTAAATAATTAAATGAAAATGCGTTTAATTCATAAATTACGAGTAAAAGTTTGGAATTTATTTATTAAACACACTATATGTCTTTTTTTGTATGAACATAAGCTTGAAAGCGTAACTAATCGTAACTAGGTTTAGATTTTGTTGAAAATATAAACATATGATAAACCATTTAGCTTTACTACAAAACTCACTTTTTCTATCTTTATTGAGATTCTTGATGGTGCTTACTAGAGAGTGACACGGGGAAAATACCATTCCCTCCCTCACCCCATTCCTATCAAGTTTGTTTACGCAATTCCCGTTACCGTGTCCCTCTCAAGTGCATACTTGATGTATGAAAACCATTCGAACGATTTTTTTAACACTTTGTTATGCTTTGATGTATGAAAACCATTCGAACGATTTTTTTACTTGTTTATTTATAAAAACTATTTATGGTGTGTATTTATTTAATGGCTAATAAGAAAATAATTTACAATTATAACTTATAAAAACAATAGCAAGATCTCATTGAGCAGCCGTGGCGCAATGGTTAGAATTCTGGCTTAGAACCCAGAGGTTCGAGGTGCGACACCAGCTCTATCAAGCGACGTTGGTACGAAAAGAGGCGTGAACTTTTTGTTAAATGCTTTTCCGCGGTGCTTTGTGATAAGACACTATTGCAGCTCCGCAAACTTTAGCTAATATCTTCTTAAAAAAAATTAAAAAATATACTTTTTTCTTAATAAGTTTTTAACAGGTTAAATTATCTTTCAAATATTGAAAAAGTTATGTAAATTTGACGCACCGATCATGAGATTTGTTAGATTTACTAAAAATTGCTTAACTAGCCCCGCTCTACCCTTATGATTTTGAAGCCTCAACTGAACTTGGCAAAAATAAACAAATAAATTGGTTGAGTAAATTCAACGATATATCATTGAATGGATATAGGATTTCAAGATTTTAGCTAAGGCTATGCCACATTACAAACATTTGCAAGATGTTTGAATATGCCCAATTCAATGACTATAAAACACTATAATAATATAAATCAAATTTTACATGAGAGAAATGAGACCAAAACGTTTGTAAGCGCTGGTGTTAAGTGAAAAAAAAAAAAAAAAAGTGAAAAAAGTGTTAATTAAATGTCTCAAATGTAAATTATTACACATTGGTTGTTTATTTTTAAGCTAATCTATATAATTATAATTATTCTAAAGTTGATCTTATCATAACATTTTGCCTATAATCAGTTGCCTCCCTAAGATGTTGAAGGAAGCGCAAATTTTCATCGTTTTAGGGTTATTTTAACGTCTATTGTAGTTAAGAATTGTAATGGGAGTTTAAATTTATATATATATAAGATTTTATACAATATACATGATAGAATCAATAAATATCAGATTAATTTTCAGATAAATATCAGATTAATAAGATTAATAAGATCAGATTATTTTCAGATAAATATCAGATTAATAAGATTTTATACAATAAACGTGATAGAATCAATAAATATCAGGTTAATTTTCAATATATAATTGCGATAATGCAACACTAACAAAATTGTGAGTGTTCTGAATGCATATTGCAATACTAATATTAAAATGAACTTTAAATATGTTTTGATTACTAATTTTAAAGTTTAACGCATTGTAGAATTGTTTAAATGTTTGTGCATTGATTGGCTGGCACTTGATATTTACGTTTACAAGAGAACATGACTTTTTTAAATTTATTTTATATACATATAAGATCCAGCAAAATTAAGAAGACAAAAAAGCCTGTGGCGGCAAAAAAGATGTCAAAGATTATACAGAATTAGCCACAAAAATCATTGGAATCGGTTTTGATGGTCGTATAGACAAACCCTAAGGTTAATAGAATAAGCGATGGTAAAGTTAGCAGGGCCACTTTCATCAAAGCAGATCATTACGTTACCTGCTTATTTCAAAACAGCGTCTAATTTGATCATATTTGTCTACAAAATGGTAAAGCAGTTAATGTTACGAAAGAAATCATTTCAGTTTTAAATGACAGAAATTTTTTTGTGACTTTACAAAGTGTTGTATGTGATGGAACCAATTCAAACACGGGCTAGAAAGATGGTATTATTCGTTTACTTGAAACTCGTATTGACAAACTTTTTCAATGGTGTATTTGTTTGATTCATTTGAATGAGCTGCTTCTCAGAACAATTTTCACTACACTTGATGGCGGTACATCTGGCCCTACTCTATTCAAATGCATTCTTGGACAACAACTATTATTTGATGTTGATTTTCTACCGACAGTTGACTTTGCCAGTGTGATTGGAGTACTCATTGAAATGTCTGACAACGTCCTCCATAATCTCAGTAAAGACTAGAAATACTTACTTTAGCATGCTATGCTACTATCCGAAGATTCCAATATTTGGATGTAGAAATGAAGAAGTGTTTCACAAATACTCATCCCAGAAATCTCAACCATGCCAGGTGGCTCAGATTTGCCAATCGCCTGGTTCGGTTATATATGTCGACCGAAAAACCCACGACAAGCCTGCCAAAAATTGGTGATTGCATCAAAAATTGGTGATTTCATCAAAGTTTACTGTTTCTGTTAGTTTTTAATCAAGAAAAATTGGAAATGCGTTAAAGGATGATGAAGAAGGTATCTCAAGTCACTCATTTTCTTTAAATTTTTCTCTATTTCGTAGGGGGGTCTAGCCCCCTTGCTTTGCAGTTTTCCAATGCTTTACATTTGTTTCTATAAAAACAATGCTTATGATTTAATTAAAATAAATTTGTTAAATCCACTGGTTTATAATGGTATTCATAACTAAAACAACCGCACCATACAAGTGTCTAATAAATGTGGTACTATATATGTTCTAAACTCTAGATAAAAAATTGAGAACTGATAATCACCTGTGTAACATAAAAATATATAAATGTCGTTAATGTAACAAATTCATAATAAAAAGCTCACAAAGCGCAAAAATACATGGGTTTAAGAGATAAAAAAATGTTGGTGCCATAATAACCAATTAGAATTAAGTAGTGGATAAATGGTGATCCCCCTCCTCAGGAATGCACTGCGATTACCGATGACGTTTCGGAGAGCCCGAAAATCATGAAACTAAATATCTTCAAAATTAAAATATACTTTACCGCAAATTAACAAAAAACCTTTTTTTTACCTTTTTTTCCGCTTGCATGATTTAGCTATTATCGTGATTAAAGTGCCAAGTTTTTTTTTATTAATAGTAACAGTAAAAATATATATTTAAATATTTTTATTATAAAGAATAAATAATTTTTTCTTTAATTTATAAAAAGAACCCCTAAAAATGCTCCTTCTCTTTTCCACCCCTACCCCAAATTTGGGAGTGTGGGGGAGCCTAGCCACGGCTCAGAGTAAAGAACAAAATAAATTTTCTATTAAAATAGAAGCGTATTGCTTTGTTGGTTTTATTAACACTCTTTTTAACAATTCTTAGCAGTAAGAGTTTTTTGAATTGAGTTCAAATTTATATTTTTATTAAAATTTATTTTTATATAAATAAAAACAAGGTTATACAAAAAACATTATTGGAGGCGCGCGCTTTAAAGCTTTAAAGTGGACACTTTAAAGCGTGTCGTTCGCGCCGTCGGTCCCGAAAGCAAAATCTTTTTTGCAGAACAAAGTATAGTTGTCAATACCCGAACCAAGTTGTAACTACAATACATGTGAACGAAAAAGATTTAAAATGGCTTTGGTTTGTTCAAGTAAGTTAGTGAGCAATTAAGGTTATGAAAGTGTTTAATTAATTGTTTTTTGTTTGTTTTTACTAATAAAATAATTTTTTTTTAAGTTAGTGGAGAAGTTCCCGAACATCCTGTTTTATCACCAATTTCAAAGCATATATTTGAAAAACGTTTAATTGAAAAGTTTATTGCCGAAAATGGCACTGATCCTATTACTGGAGACATCTTGACTGAAGGCGAACTTATTGAATTAAAAAGTATGTATTTATATTGCAGTATTGTAAAGTATGATTTTTTTTTTGTAACAAGGAATATATAAAAAATGTCTAATAGGTCATTCCATGCCAAATCCAGAAAAATTTTCAAAAGTTCTTTATTGACTCATTATTTTGCCAAAACTTTTTGATTTGAACATAAATTTATAAAAAAAAAAGGAAATTTTGGATTAATATCTACTATGGTTCTTGAGAAAAAACTATTTAAGTAGTGGTCTTTTTTGTGTAAAATTTCACTTTTCCAACTTTTTCCTTTTGTTTTTTAAATTAAAAATAACTAGGATATGCCACCTTCCCCTGACCTTGTGATTTAAATACACTACTGCTGACATTTTTTTGATTTTAAATGTCTGTTGATTTACTTGTGGTGGGTAGTAATTGACCGGGGCCCCAGCTTAGGCTAAAAATGAGACTTTTTGCAAATCCAGCCCCAGCAAAATTGTAAGATTTAGCAGGGGTTGATAGCTGTTGCTATAAATAAATTAATAATTCTTTATATATTATGATTTTATACTTACATTTACTATTTATTAAATTCTGGCATATATTTGTGCCAGTATTTAATAAATAGGGACAGGTACAGTAAAAGGATGCAACTTGTTGAATAAGAAGCCAAGCAAGAATGAGTTTTGATTTATTGTAATAGAAATGGTAGCTTGTTTGAGCATTGACCATGATTAGAGAAATAGCATTAAAAAGGAAGGTTAAAGCCTGCTGTTGCTGATGGTGATGATGATAACAATAATGATGATGGTGATGATGATAACAATAATAATGATGGTGATGATGATGACAATTATGATGATCATGATAATGATAATCATGATAACGATGATGATGATCATGTTGATCATAATGATGTAAATGCATACATATACAAAATCAAACATATATTTTGGAGAAAAAAATATACTTTAGGATGTATAAATGTTTATGCAGCCCCGACCTCGCTATTTTTCATCTAACTTGGTCCCAACTCCAGTCAAATATCAACCCCGGTGGTTTACTAGTGGTGGATAAACAATTTTAGATAATTCAGTTGGTTAAACGGCTTCATTTAAAAGTTATAAGTCATGTGAGCTGGATTAAAAATTTTTTAATTGATCCCTTATGCAAAGCATCTGTTACTTAAGATAGCACCTTTTTTTTTCCTTAAATTTCTTTTACACATTAATCAAAGAGTGTAATAAAAACCAAAAAATTAATAGGCAATTATTAACTTAATTATTAAGATAAAAATCTTTTTATTACACTTTTTTTTTTAACACAAAAAAAAAAGCAAAATGTATTGCAATTTGGATGTTTTATAAAATTTCACTTTTTTTGAGACCCAGTTTTATTTCTGAAAATGCCACTTAACTTATGTTACAGGAAAACAAAGTAAAAAATTGCTTCAATTTTTAGGTCAGATTTCTGCAAATCAGGAAAGTGGTTTGTATTAAAAACTTTTACAAGATATTAAGAATTCTATGCCAATTTAAAAATTATATAAACTTGTTTTTTTGATACTATGTATTTAACTTACGTTACCAAGCGATATTTATCGTGGATTTTTTAGATATATTACTCAGAGTTAGAGTTACATAACAAAAGAGTTGAACTTATTCATTAAAAATAATTAACAAAGGAAATTTTAAAAAACTAGTGGCACTCTTTCTGAATAATTTTTCATAACATTTATGAAATTTATCAAATGGAAAACAGTTTTTCCGCAAGACCAAGAGCAACTTTAAAAATTTAGTTTAGTATGACAACTTTATTAATACTTATTAAGTCATTTAAATTTTATAGTTTGTTAAAAATTTTACGAATACTTCTTATGTTTATGTGTATTACCTTATTTTCATTAGTTTAATTTTTTTAAATGCTGCAAAGTATTTACATTTAAATCTTTCAAAATATTTTTGACAACAAAACTGTTTATGAAGCGCTTGCTTCATAAACGAGTGGTTCCGAGTTCGATCCCCACCACGTCCCTGGTAGTACCGCGCTCAACTCGTTTCTCCGCGCAGCGGCCTTGCTCGTCAAGGTTCGTGTTTCGGAGTTATAGAGTTGAGACAGGGTTATAACCACAAATAAGTAGCCTCCTCGTCTGTAGTGGCCTTCTCGGCCTTGAGGAGGTGAATTAAAATTAAAAAAAAAATAAAAAAAATATGTGATTGTTTGTGACAGGAGAAAAGAGGTTAAGAATTGGCAAATATATGATGACGTGCTTTATGGATGACCCATAATTGCATTTACAAATGATTTGTTTTACTAAAACAAAAATAAAATAGATTCTGTTTTTTTTTTATATTAGCAGAATAGGAATTAAAAATTTATTATTATTTTTTTTATGTTTAAATTTAAAAAATTATCCAATTCTAATTTTTATTTATTTATGTGTAATTATATGTCAAATAAAATAAGAATACATAAACAAATAAAAAAAGCAATAATATTAATAATTTTAATTAACATTAAAGAAAAACAAACTTTTTCTAAATTCTCCTAATATAAAAAGTTTCAGTTAGAATCGTGCCATACCAACTTGAATTACTTAATGACATAATTTATTTTGCTAACAAAAAAGCGTAAAAATTTTAGTAAATGCATGTAGTTTTAACTTACGTTACACACATTTAAAATAAGAATGTGCTTTAACTAAGCATCGTTATTCAAAACTTTAAATGAAAAAACATAACATTTAATATTCTTTTGCACATATTATTAAAAAAATAGATTTTTTTAACTAAGTTTTGGAAAAAACAAAACTTTATCATGTTTTTGTTGACTTAAGTTGCATGAAAATTGCAATAGTTTTTTCGTTATTTTCTTAAAAAAAAATATATTTTATAAAGTATTAAATTTGACCTACAATAATTTAAACATGTTAGCTTCATTTTCACGCTAAACTAATTTCCATTATACAAATAAGTTCATAGTTAAACTAACATTTAACAATGATACCTTTTTTTATTATGCAACAATGAGAAAAACTGTTATTTTCGAAGGCATAAATTTTTTAAACTTAAATTTATTAGTTTTAGTATTAAAGGTACTTTTTAAATAAACTTTCATGTGTCTACATTAATATTCATTTGCTAAAAGTTGACGAAAAAGAGATTAAAATTTGACTACCTTCTCATTTTCTGCCGTGGAAGTGCCTATGTATATCAACCCTCAACATTGCCAAATGTCGACCCAAATTAGGGTCGACATTTGGCAATGTTGACTGCCGACCTTAAAGTGTTTAAGGTCGGCAAATAATTTCCGACCTCGTTTCGATGTTTAACGGTAACACCTTTGTATGAAATTTTCTTTGCCAATCTTGTGCCGACCTCTAAAAGATTGAGGTCGGCAAATTATTGCCTACCTCAATTTTCCTAATTCCATTCCGAGGGTTGATATATATATATATATATATATATATATATATATATATATATATATATATATATATATATATATATATATATATATATCCATTAGGTTAGGCATTAAGTGATTAAACTTTGTATAAAGTATGCATCAGAGGTACCCAACAGAGATCATCTCTGCATGGTCACATTAATTAAGTTTTTTATTTTTTTAGAAAATAAACAAAAAAGGGGTACAAAGTTTCCTGGCTGTTGCTCCAGTGGAAACCTTGCACTGCATCATGCATTAGATAACTATAGTTTTTTGCAAAGTCAAAGAAAACTACAGCTTGTTTTTCTTTTAAGTTAGTTTTTAAATGTTGGAAGTAGTTAGTTTAACTTTTAGGAATAAAATGATGCTCTCGTAAACTGTCTAACTGTTCATAAACCATTTCAATAAATTCATCTATAGGTAAAATTGCCGGGGTCAAAGTATATTAGAAGTTTGATTTTTACCACTAATAAATGGTAAAAAAAAAAATTGAAAAATAGTAATTGGTACTTATCATAAAGTAGTAGTATAAAACAATCAAGTAATGGAAATAAATCCAATGATAAACCAGGGCCAATTCTAGGTAAAAAATTAGGGTGGCGGTACCCCCTCGTATTGGCAGACTTTAGTGGTAAATCTGCTGTAAATATTGTTGTTGTTTTTTTTGCAAAAAAAACAATATTTGCTGTAAAAATCTAAGAAAAACGTAAGTAAAAAAAAAAGGTCCTCAAATTTTAATTTGGACGGCGGCCAAATACGATTGACGCTGTCGAAAACGACAGTGTATATATATATTTATTATATATATATATATATATATATATATATATATATATATATATATATATATATATATCAGTGTGGAAAATAAGGAATTGAAGGCGAGCGTATTAGTATTGAAAAACAAACATCTTAAACAAAAAATTTGCTTTAACTTCTTTTCGCTTTTAAGCTTTAATGACCCGCTAGCAATTAAAGTAGCGTATCATAAACAAGATAACTATTTTTAACCCTTTTTCAAAATGTAAATGGTTTTACAAAATTTTATGTATATTTTCCAAATAACATCCTGATTATTTGTCAAACCTTGGTTTTAATTCTCTTTTTTTTTTTTCAAGGGGTCCTTTATGACTGGCAAGAATTCAGTTTGGCAGGTCAAAATAGCTTATTTAGAAATTTCAGGCAGTCCTTGACCATTGACCGGGCGTTATTTTCCATGCTAATATATATATATATATATATATATATATATGTATGTATATGTATATGTATATATATATATATATATATATATATATATGTATATGTATATGTATATATATATATATATATATATATATATATATATATATATATATATATATATATAATATATATATATATATATATATATATATATATATATATATATATAGATAGATATATAGATATATAGATATATAGATATATAGATATATAGATATAGATATAGATATATAGATATATAGATATATATATGTATATATATATATATAGATATATAGATATATATATATATATATATATATATATATATATATATATATATATATATATATATATATATATATATATATATATATATATATATATATATATATATATATATATATATATATATATATATATAGATATATATATATATATATATATATATATATATATATATATATATATATATATATATATATAGAAGAATTCAGTTAGTCAGTGCTAATTCAGTGCTAGTCAACATTGGTACATTTATTTACACTCCTATCCTTATATAACATGTTGACAAGGTTGTGAATAATAGTTTTTTTAGTCTAACTTTTAAACCTTAGCATTTATAATTTTCAGGAACATGTTTTTATGCAATTTTCAATGGTGATAAAGTTCTCTATCATAATCAATAATAAAAATACAAAAATTTTATCATTTTATCCTAAACTTTAACCAAGTTTTTAAAGTTTCATGGAATGTTGCTTTAAATAGAGTTGCAATAAAAGGAGTTTTTATTTAACACACCCTATTGTAAAAATGGTTTATTTTTGTAAATATTTTTATCTTGATTACAACGGTTAAAAATTATGTTTTACTTAATTACAGCATATATTAGTGGTTTATGCATTGATTTAAAGGGAATCAATTTATACACCACTGGAATATGCATTCTAATATATAACCAGGGAATCAGAGAGGTTATTTTTTTAAATCCTAATATCTTAATATATAAGATAAGTGAAATTGTTATGTAAACATATTAAAATATTACAAGGTGTATATGTGATGTATCTATTGTTTTAGGAGAATGAGTATTTGCCTTCCACATAATTAATGAAAAAAAGTGGGGAAAAAGACAATGTTTTAAAATAAAATTTGGAGTTGATTTGCGTTGATCATTGTTATTTAACAGATCTTTGCCATATGCTGCGACACCACTGCTTTCAACACTTGAGTATTTTTATATTCCATTTTAATCCACATAATTATGCTCAACATTTCCTTGCTCTGGTTTCTTGTAAGCAACACACATTTAAGGTACTTATCATTTTACTCACCTGTCATTTTCTGTAGGCTTTTATTGATGAAAAAACAGATAGGCCCAGTAGAGCACTGCAGAATACCTGGCAGATCAAGGAGTTAATGGACTTAAAGGATTAAAGATCATCAGGTTCGATTGAAATTTGCTACAGGTTGGGTCATCCGTGTACAGCATTGATTAGAGCGCTCATTTTATATTAGCCGGCTAGAGCTTTAAAATTTACTTCAAAGTTTAAATGTTTTTTGGCACACTGCACTAAACTTTTACCAATTTAATAAGTAATATAATTAAATTTTCAGTTTCTTTTCTAATTTATCTATAGCTAAAACAATACTAAATTAATTAAGGCATTAACAGTGAATAGATAGCATTAAAAAATGATTTAATGAATCTAGAAAAACTTTTCCATAAAAAGTAACAATAAATGAATAATCAAGCAAAATTTTAAGTACTAAAATACTGAAAGAAATAACTAAAAATAAAATAAAACTCTAAAAAGTAAAAATACTGACCTATATTTTCTAGAGCATGTTGATTCTACTAATCACAAAAATTATGTTTTTAAATCAAAATGAACACTTTTATCTTTTTCCCTATTTATCACTTGATGGAAAGTAAGATGTTATTGAAGAACTAAATTTACAAACTTAGTCAACGCTGACATCAGAGTGTCATTTATACAGTTTACATCGTCTGAATACCTAATTATTTATTTTCTAAATCTAATTATTTTATCACATTTATAAAAGGTTTATATTAAAAAACCATAAAATAGTTATTAGAATTTTTAAATAGTTTGTTAAATTTTTAACTATCAATATTAAAACATGTTTCTTCATTCCCATATGAATGAAGTTACATGTTCTTTAATGGTACGTGTTTTTTGTTCTTGTCTTCTTTTGAAACTAATATTTCAGATAAATTGCTGCAGTTTTCTGTATTTACCTGTATTCTAATTTTACTCCATGTTATATCAAATATCTTTTTAAACATATTCAAAAGATATTTGGTATGTGTGAGTATAAATAAACAAATCTTGAAAAAATTATAATCTTTAATAAATAAATTTTTATATATTTTTTTAATAGTCAATAGGTTAAATTATTAGTTAATATAAGGTCAATAGGTTGATTTTTAGTTAATATAAATTATTAGTCAATAGGTTGAATTTAAAAAAAGTCATTTTAATAATTTGTATTAAATATAATTTTAAATAGTTGTTTTGTTTTGAATATTTTAGCTACTCCAATTACAAAACCAAGGCCTCCTTCAGCAACAAGTATACCTGCAATATTGAAATCTTTGCAAGATGAATGGGTTGGTGTTTTGTTAAATATTATCTTGGTAGTCAAACTTTAGAATTTTTAACTACTAATCAATATTTATATATATATATATATATATTTTTTGTAGGATGCAGTTATGCTACATAGTTTTACTTTACGACAACAACTCCAAGCTGCTCGACAAGGTATATATCTATTAGTTTTTTATCAATATTTATTTTAGCATTTTAAATTATTCATTAGTTTATGATTTTGACATGGATTGATAATGAATTTTCAAAATTTGAAAACATGTTTTTGAAAAATGAATGTCTATTTGTAAAAGGTGTAATAATACATGATTTATGTTGATCAAAATTAACAGTTGTTCAAATCCAGCTTGAACTTGCATATCACAATCATTTATAATGACTACAATGCAACAAATTATTTGTGATATTTAAAACAAGGATAACACAGGATATTCTTTTGATGTATGTATATATATATATATATATATATATATATATATATATATATATATATATATATATATATATATATATATATATATATATATATATATACATATATATATATATATATACATATATATATATATATTTATATTTATATAAATATATTTATATTTATATAAATATATATATTTATATAAATATATATATTTATATTTATATATATATTTATATAAATATATATATATATAAATATATATATATATATATATATATATATATATATATATATATATATATATATATATTCATTCATTTTATTTTTTTTAAATTATTCAATAAAAATTCTAACTTATAATGGCAGGGCCTTAACTGGCAGGGTGGCCACCATTCCTGAAAAATCTTTTAATTTGAAAGTGATTCTTAAAAAGTTGGATTTTTGTTGTTTTTAAAAAGATGCTTTTCTTTCCCTAAGTGCTAAAGCAAATTGTGTTCATATTTGAAGAGAATATTTTAAAATAATGCTTTGGCTGAATTTTTTTGGTTAAAACAAAATTATAGATGTATACCAAGAAAAACTAACTTGATAGTTATAGGCTTGCATTCTTCATTTTAGTCCAAATTTTGAGTTTTATATCAAAATTTTCAACTTTGTCTTGTCTAAATATTACAATTGAAGCAAAAGCAAAGCACCTATGGCACTGGTTAGCGTGCTTGCTATAGAAGGAAGAGATCTAGGATTCAAAATGAGCTCTGGACATGTAAAGCAGGATTGGTAAGAGGCGTGAACTTCCTAGTTAAATGCTCTTATGCGGTGCTCTGCGACAAGACCATTAGGTCTTCTTTGGGCACCAGACAGTTTTATTTGCTTGTTATTTAAACATTAAAACATTTTTAAATTACTTGTTATTAAAACATTGGATGCTAAGAATAAATCATAGTTTATTTAAGCAAAGATTGAAAGATTAGTTTAGATTAACTTTTAAAAAAATTACTGAATATTTAAGATTTGAACCACTTACCAAAACAGCTCACTATCTTATGCCTTGTCGAATTAATGTCAGAAGCGTTGAGCTAATACTGGGGAAACATTGGCCCAACGTGTTGTGTTGCTTTTTTTACATTTATTGTGGAAAGTTTAATTTATGTTAATCTAGCTCATTTCACATTTTCTCTTTTTGCTGTATCAGACCCAATCATATCCTGCAACTGCTTGCGTTACTAAACACGACCTCTCCATTTATATATATATATATATATATATATATATATATATATATATATATATATATATATATATATATATATATATATATATATATATATATATATATCAGGCCTTGTTATGAGATTTTACATTGCGTAATAGAAAAGTGCAACAAGAATAAATGTAACTTTACTCAATAAAGATATTTACATCCTTAAAAGCTTAATTACATCAGTTGCATATTTTAAAATACCTCATTGTAATTAAATTTAAAACCACATTAAAAATTTTAAGTCTTTGAAATAAAATATCTTTAAATGTAATATTTTATAAAATATTGTTATAAAAAAAATTATAAATCCAATCTGTTACTCGTGGCCATGTTTATAAACTAAAAAAACAATCTTTACCATTATATTTATGTATGAACTTTTTTTCTCTAAAAATAATAAATAAATGGAACTCTCTTCCTAATGACATTGTATCTGCGTTTTCTCTAAAAACCTTTGAGCTGCTTCTCGACAAACATCTAAAAAATTAATGGCTTCTCTACAACTAACATTTTATCATCAACATTTTATTTTCTACTAGTTATACAAACTCTATAATTGTCAAGTATTATATAACTAGTTCAACTGGCAGTTTATGCCTACTCAATTTATTGTAAAATCCTAATGTTTAAAAAAATATTAATAAATAAATAAAATTTAAATGTTGATTAAAAAAAAATTTCCTTTTTTTAAAATCATATACTTAAATTTAATTTTTTTCTAAATGAGGGAACACTTTTTTATAGTTAAAGAGATTTGAATCTACTTACAACTACACAATTAGATTGGGTTTTCCCCTTAATAAAAAAACATTTGCCCTACCTAAAGCATTTTAGTAACTGGCTTTTAATAAATTCTAATTAAACAAAGATTACTGCTTTTTGGCTTTGTTTTTTTGTTGTTTTTTTTTATTTCCATTAAAATATTTTATTTTTATGTACCGTGTAAAATATTTTATTTTTATGTAACCTAATGTATTTTTACTATTTCTTACTAAATCAAAAAATTTAAAGTTGTATTTTCGGCTTTAAGTTATTAGCAGAACTTGTTTTTAACAAGTATCAGTATAATTTTGAAATTTATGTATCTTGTATTTATAGCACTAGTATTGGTTTTGTTTTTAAGGTAAAATAAATATAAGTAGGGCTTTTAAAGAGTTTATTCATTGATCATGTTATTTTTAATTGGTTTAAAGTTAGGTTTGTTTTATTTTAAAAATAATTAAATTCTTCTACATAAAATTTAACAGCAAAGAGAAAACCCAAACATAACATTTATAACTCGAGTTTGAAAGAACTTTTTGTATTGATGTCATTTATTAACTACAAAAGCACATTAATCAGACCAGTATTTGAACTGGAACTTACTTTCGAGAGAAAAAAACTGGCGTTAAAATTTATAAAGTTTTTCCCAATATCTCAATAAATAATTTGTTCTGGAAAATTTGATTAGCATGAAACTTATTTTTCAAGGATTTTTTATAACATGAACTCTTGGCACTTAGGGATCACATAATGGTCAAAAAACAAATAAAAGCTATCGACATTTTGGTTTAACATTTTGGTTTTAACAAAATTTTCGCATAACACTCATAAACTAATTAATCATTTCTAATTGATGTTCAGTCTATAATCAATTCGAAAAAATAATGATTAAGAAAAACCTTTGTTAGAAAAAACTGAAATTAAAATAAAGTTATATGTAATACGAATATTAAAAAGTAACTTGAATTAAATTTTATAAAATTAATTACTAAAACTATGATAAATTTAGATATAATAAATTTAATTTAAATTTATTTTAAAATTTTATTATTTAAAATGATATTTTTTTTTTTTATATTTTTAAATAAAATTAAATTACTATTTAAAATAATAAATTTAATTTAAATATAATAAAATAAATTAAAAATATTGTTTTTTAAAAAAAAAATTGAAAATAGAAAAAAAGTTTATCTATTTGTTTTTTTATCTAATAAAAAATATATTCCACAAATGTTTTTTACAACAATTAATTACAGCTTAATGTTTTTCGCATGAACTGTTCAAAAAGACTGTTTATTACGTTCACAAAAACTTTTTTAATCTTATTTAAAAAAGTTTTTGTGTAACGTAAGTAAGGAAACACGTTCGAAAAATCATGAATACTTACGTAAAATTCAAATAGCATAACGCTTCTTAACAAGGCCTTATATATATATATATATATATATATATATATATATATATATATATATATATATATATATATATATATATATATATATATATATATATATACACACACACACATATATATATATATTGATATCTATTCTAAATAAAATATTACAAAAAACCAACGGAAAAGCAAACATTTTATTTAAATTCCTAATAAAATAATTAAAATAAAAACAAGAAAACCTTTTAATTAAATTCTAAGCACAAACCTTTTGTTTAAGTAGTTAACAAAACAGTTAAATTAAAAAGGAAACACAAATTTTTCATCAATTTTAAATATAATAAATTTGGCAAACTTGATGTTTTATTTAACTACCTCATAAAATTATAAAATGCTGCATTTGTTTTTCCAAGTTTTTAAGCAAAGGCCGACATTTGACATTTTTTTAATCTGTCAATTTTATGCTTCATTTTCCTGTTTGTTGAATTGCAGGCTTGGTCGCAAAGCGGGAGCGATCGCTCTGGAATACTGACCATGGAAATTATATTTAGTTGCGAAAAACTGGCCAGGTTTTTTAGTCGCTTTGAGAACATTTAAGTTTATGTACGAAACAAAAAATTTTTGTTTTATGGACATATATGAAAACATAAAAAACTTGAATGACAAAATTGAAAAACTTCTCATATTATCTTGATGCAAAAGAGTAAAAAGAATATTCGCGAACACTAAAAACCTGCCAAATTAACAAACTAATTCTATTGGTTCAAAAAATACACTGACTAAGCGAAATAAAGTTCTAGAGTATTCTATTGAAATGTTTTAGAAATTGTATTATTCATTATTTGTTACGTTTTGAGATTTCTAGCATAAATTATTTTAAGAATATATAATATTTGTTTACAAAAATAAATGTTTTAAATATATTAAATTGTCAAAACTTTAAAAGTTTATTATAAACTATAGATTTTGTTAGTATATTCTTATTTTTTTATTTAAAAAGTATGTATTCTTTATGTAAATGTAATTTTGTGTATCTGTTTTTTATCGTAATGTATCTTTTAAAGCAATCTTTATGATTTAAACAAAGACTTACAAAAATATTTGCGTTTTCAATGAAGTTATAATTGTCAAAGTTAATAAAACTAATTATGTAACAAACATATAAGAAGTTTCTGATTACTAAACACAAACAATGCATACAAAGTAAATCATGAGTGAAAAAGCACAGCGCCTGAGGTCACAACAGAATACAAATATTTATAGCAAATAATTAGATAAAAAGAAAAGTTTCTAGATATTGGTTTATTAACTCTAATTATTTTCGCTTAAGTTGCCATTCTTAAAACTTGTTATACATTTTTCTGCTTTAAATACTAATTAAAGTTAAAAAGCACACTCACTAAACATCATCAGCGATGTTGTGAAGCAGTTTCGCTTCCTCGTCTTAAAGTATTTTTAACCTTTTTAGTTGCTTTCTATCTTGTTAATTTAATTTCTTTAGTAATTCAATGATTTAATTATTTCATTTGTTTATCTTACTAAAAAGAATTGCTTCAAATATGTTAAGCTTTTCAAACTACGCGAAACATAAAATAGGTATTAAAGAATTAACTTTTTTATTTATAAAAAGAATTTAGCTTAAATAATTCTAAAACTTGCAAACTTTGTTAAATAAAGGATATTTGTTTCCTTTTTAAACAATCATAAGTTGTTACTTAATATAAAAAAGCATCCCTTAATTTTATTAAAAAAATTATAAAAGAGCGATGTTTCGAAAATATTTGTTTTAATTGTAATTTATTTAGCTTTAAGTTTTTTTGTGTTTAAAGATATTTTATTTGCTTTAATTTTTTTTTTTTTTTTTTGCTTTTTAAAATGTTCTCTAAATGACTAAAAAATCTGGCCAGCTTTTCGCAACTAAATATTATTTACGTGGTTATGAAACTGTTTTAGGTCATCAATTTTTTTTCAACCTCATTTTTTCCTAATTTCAAGGATGACTTTTTCAAGTTATTCATATTAAAGGTTGTCTTGAAGAAGTGTAGCATTTTTTACCAGCAACATCAAATAAATTCAAGAAAAATATTAGAAAATCTACAAAAGAAGGTAATATTGGCTTCTGTGCTTAGTTATAAATATACTAATCTAATTTATATATTTACCAAAAAGTAATTGCATTAAAAAGGAGGCAGGAAAGTTATAAGCAGATCTGTTGACATGTCTCTTTGAAAATATGAATGAAAGCTTTTTGTTATACACACTTTTTATTTCAAATAGGAGTAAATAGAATTTTTTAATTAATAGTTTTTTAATTTTATTGTCAAAGTGTTAAAATTTTATTGTCAAAGTTAAAAATGGTTGCTTGTCATGTTTGTCACAAACCTGTTAAAGTAGCAAAAAGTCAGAATAGCAGAAGTTTTTCTCATTAGTTTACTTAAAGTCAGATATGCTAGTCATAAAAACAGAAAAGCTGGATACTTTTACACGTATGAAATAGTTAAAAAAGAAAGAAACTAAAAATTAAATACTATCTAGTGAAACAAAAGGGAATTGTGGGTTTGCACAAAATATGGATGGTATTTGAGGTGCTCCAAGAGTCCTTACATTTTTATTACAGATACTGTGAAAAAGCATTTAACTAGAAAGTTCACATCTCCTTCCAATGTTGCTTATCTGTTCAAAAGTGGCATCAAATAACAGACCTCTTGGTTCTGAGCTAGAACTCTAACTACATTCCCTGAGTGCTTTTAATATAAGAATACTAGCTGAAAAAATCTTTTAGTTGCTGTTTCCTTTATTATAACTTTTTTTTTTAAAATTTAATTATGATACCTTATTTATACTAACAATAAAATACATTTTTTTTAAACAGGTTTTACACTTTGAATGTTAAAAACTGTATAAAACAATAAAACATTAGAGCGAGGCTGTTTTTTATTTATGTAAACATTTAAGAATCAAAACATTTTAATTGCAAATTGTGTGTAATTAATTAAAATTGTGTGTAATTAATGTAAACATTTAAGAACCAAAACATGTTAATTCAAAACATTTTTATTAATTACTTTGAGATATTATTTTATATCTTATTCTGCTTTTTGCAATAACAATTTATATATTAATAAGAATAAGATTTTATATTTTAATAAAATATATATATATATATATATATATATATATATATATATATATATATACACAGTATCGGACAAAACAAGTGCAACCAATTAATGCTAATTTAGTTTCTTTATATAAAAGTGCTGTGTTTTTTCAATTTAGAGAAATAACTATGTAACTGTTTAGAGACAACGTTGTTCAAGTTTTATTCATCACAAAGTTTATTATTTGTACACGAAAATTAATAAATTAATCAAAAGTATAAAAAAAAGTGGATTTCCTTCTGGACAAAACAAGTGCAACTCCACAAAATGTTGACTAAGCTGTATTTCGCTATCAATATTTTGTGGCGAATCCATTGTTGTCGATCACATCCTTGCATCTTCTAGGCATAGATTCGATCAGGTGATCAATGAAACTTTGTGGAATTGCTGCCTAGGCCTTTTGGATTTGTTCAAACAGTTGATCCTTATTACAAACACCTTCACAATTATACGGTTGACGATCTCCCACAGGTTCTTGATAGGGTTGAGATCCGGAGATTGAGGCGGCCAATCCATCACCGATAGGTGGTTGTCTTGAAACCACTGCTTGGCTACTTTTGCAGTGTGTTTCGGATCGTTGTCTTGCTGAAAAACCCATTTTATTGGCATATTCCATTCAGCATGAGGTAACAACATCTTTCAGGATATTTTTATAAATAAAACAGTCCATTATTCCATCAATTCAATGTATTGGACCTAGACCGTTAGCAAAAAAACACCCCCAGACCATTACATTGCCTCCACCATGCTTCACGGTCCTCCACCATGCCATCGCTCCCAATGATGTTGAACTTCAATTTAACACTGAACAGGACAGTACGCCATTTCTGCACATTCTAGTCATTATGAGATGTAGCAAACAGGGATCTTTTCTTCTGGTTCTTTAGTGAAATCAGCGCTTTCTTGGCAAGGCATCGAGAAAACAATCCGGCTTCAACAGCACATTGTCTGATTGTTCGGTCTGATACAGGCAGCTCTAATTATTTTTGTATCTCGACTGATGATATTCAGGGATCCTTTTTGACGGATCTAACAGTAATAGAATCCTCTCTAAAAGTAGTGGAACGTGGTCTTCCACCTCTGTTATTTGCTGCCAACTTCCCCATAGAACGATATTTGGAACATAGTTTTGATACGGTCCATTTTTTCACGCAATATTTATCACAAATACTTTTTTGTGACATTCCACTTACGCAATCGCCAATAATTTTCTTTCTTATTTCCAATCCAAGACTGTCAGGAGCCATTTTTGCACTTGAAGTCATAAAAATAATAAAAATAAGTAATCATGCTTCTCAAGGCTTACTGTGTTACATTTACTTATTTTTTATTTGTTACTTTATATTTTATTTATTATTTATTTAAAACTTTATTTTCAGTTGATTGTTTACAATAGTTTTATAATCAACAAAAACTAATTAAAATCAACACACTAAACTGTATAAGACAATACAAACAAACATACATATTGTGAATAAAAAATAAAAATAGCTTACATAGTAAATAATCTAAATGTCAATAAATACAACAAGTTGGTTATTTTCGACGTAAAAATAAAAAAAGTTATTTTTGACAGATTTTACAAAAACAAGATTTTCTGTTCCATTTTAAAATACTTTTTTTGAACATCTTTAGACAATTTATTGATGATACAATAATGCTCTGTGGAACATGTCTTTGTTGGATGTGGACTGTATTGATGTAATGAAACACTTGTTTTATTTCACTTCTTGTATTGATGTTGTTTGATAAAACACTTTGATAAAACTCAATTCGATAAACTGTCTTGATAATACTGACTGATTGACTTACATATACTGACTGAATTACATGTCGGTTTACATGTCTCTTATATAGTAAAATAAACCTGAGTGAACCTGTTCTGAAAGATTCTATATGCTTCTTTTCTATGCTTCTGGATGCGTCTGGATGCTTCTAAATGTTTCTGGATGCATCCAGATGCTTCTTCTGGAAACTTCTAGAAGCTTCTGCATGCTTCTGGAAACTTCAGGATAACTTTAATTATTAAAACACTTCCGTGACGTTGACACGGACCAGACTTAAGAAAATGAAACAAAAACCAAAAAAGTTGCACTTGTTTTGTCCGCTGCAAAATGACACTTGTCAACGAAATTCTGCCTGTGCGCTGTCACCTTTTAGCTGATTGCTCATATCATGGCATGCTATGACTCCAGACTCCTGAACTGAATTTTTACAATTAAATGTCTGTCTAAGGATCTATATGTTCAATATTATATATATATATATATATATATATATATATATATATATATATATATATATATATATATATATATATATATATATATATATATATATATATATATATATATATAATATATATATAATATTGAACATATAGGTCCTTAGACAAACATTTAATTGTAAAAACAAGTCCTCAGGCAAAACAGGTCATATTATAAATGACATTTCAAACATAATTTTTTGTGCAATAAATTTTTGTTTGATTGCATTTATCTAGTTTATTGATTTTTTTTTTTACATATTGTTTGGAAGTGGAAATCTTGCCTTTTCAATTTTTTTATTTGGTTAAACTCTGAAACAAACACTGATAACCATGATAAAAAAGCTGATTAATTTGAGCTGCAAATTTTAATGACATTCATGTTGTATGATTAGAGTGCCATCTAGCATATTTTGATGTGACTAAAATTCTCTACAGAGTTTTTGTAAATCATCTTAATAAATTACATTTTTTGTTATAAAATACATCGCTATTTCAACCTTTTTTTTTCTTATTCTTTCTTTTGTTATTGTTTTTGGTGTCATACTTTTAAATTTTAATACCATTATATATTTCTGTATTTTTTATTTACTAAACAAAATCATAAATATTTTTATTAAACCTAGAATTATCTCATGCTTTGTATCAGCATGATGCAGCATGCCGTGTCATTGCCAGGTTAACAAAGGAAGCTACTGCAGCCAGAGAAGGTTTGATAACTAAATTGTTGTTAAATGTTACTAAATTGTTGTTTGATAACTAAATGTTATTGAAATGTTATATACTTGAAAAATGTTATATACTGACTATCAGATTGCTATTAATTTGATTGCTTTATATAAATATTTTTATCTATTTGAAAAGGTTTTTTTTTTTTTTAATTTTAAGCACTTGCAACACTTAAACCTCAGCAAACTGGCATATCACACCATACCGCATTGGCAGCACAGAAAGCAAGCAAAGCAAAGGTTAAATACAATTTTTATTTAAATATGCATGCGTGTATATGTATATATACATTATAGCACACTGCATTCTTAGGTATGCAGTATGTGGTATAGCCGTAGATAGGGTTTCACTCCATTGATTATTAATATAAGTTTAAGATTTACATATAACTAAGATCAATTGTAGAAAAAATTTAACACTTCCTTATACCACCATGATCGGTTGAAATTCAGACAATTTTTAATTAAATTTTCTCAAAACCACGTAATTATCATTATATGAAAAAAAAATTCTAAATGATTTTCTTTAAATATAATGGTGTCTACATAATTAACTTTTACTTCAACAAAAATAAATTAAGTCTTAACTTTACGATGTGCAAATATTTTTATTTTTTGTAACAGCCATAATCTCCACAATTTTACTTGGCAACACTTTTTTTTGTAACATTATCCAAGAAATTTTTAAAACTATTTGCATATTAGCCTTTTTTATTCTCAATATTCCTCAATATTCCCTTTAAAATGCCCTTTAAGATTTTGTAACATGCTGCTCAGGAGAGCTAGGTGCATTAGCATCCTTTGGAACAAAATTGACTCACAATTACAGGATCAATATATATTAGTGGATCAATGCCAGATCTGGCTAAAATAAGGTTGATTATTTGCCTTGCATTATTGGTACTCAAATCATCTATTGAATGCTGAAAATGAAATATGAAAATTGTATCAAATCAACTAAATTAATGAGAACATCATGAAAAATGTTATTAAAACATTCAATCAAAGCCAATAAGTGTTTTTTGTTAGGTGGTTTTTGACCAACTAATTGCTGGTTGATGTTCTCACAAAGATGTCTAATAGAATTGTGGTTTAGGCTCTGTGAAGGTCATTTAAGAGCATAATTTTTGTGATTCATCCTTTTTAATCATAATCATTTAATATGTATGCATGTGGCAACAACATTCTACCTAATGTCTAAATAAACTCAATGATTCATAATATCATCTCTGCAATCAATGGAACCTACAGTGCCCAACTAAAACATCTCCTAACCATAGCATTTCCTCTGCCATGTTTGACAGTATGTAACTAATATATAGGATTTAGTTTTCTACTCGATGTCTGACATACCCTGGTTCTGTCACTGTTGGATGCCATAAACTTGGTTTGTCAGGGGGAAAAAACTTATAACCAGTCATAAATTGTCCAGCTAACATAATATTTTCCAAATATTATTTTGTCTTTCAAATTACTTGCAGATATCAGTGGTTTGTTAACTGGAAAACAGCCACACATTACTTTAGCATGATGTTTAGTTCACTGCAGTTTTTGTCATTAAACTCGCACATAATTATAGTAAGTTGGATAACAGTCAAGAAGGAATCATTCTTGGAATACCTTACCTATAATCAGTCTTTTCAGTTTTAACTCTAGGTCCAGTGCAAGGCTTGTTTTCAATAATTTTGTACTAATGAAATTGCCTGATGTGACTGATAATGTGACTGATTCCTGGTTTTGAAGCATCCTTAAGTTAAGAAAACTTTCTGTAAGACATTTTTTCTCACAATTTTTATTATTCTTTATTTCATTTAAAATTTCCTTAGCTTTTCCCATGTTTTTAAAATATTTTGAAGTTATTGAGTTATAAAATTTCGCAAATGATTTGACAATTAGTTTTTACTGCTTTTAAAATGCTTTAAAAGTTTTTTTAAAGTAATTAAATTTTGTAAGTAATTTTAATTATTTTTGCTTTAGTTATGCTTTTTTTTTTTACAAAAACTTGATTTAGTTAACTTGTATAATGCTATTATAAATATATATTGTTTTTTATTTTTATATTTTTAACTTTTTTATCTTTTATAATATAGCAGTAAATATATGATACATATATTTACAAAAATATGTATACATGTACACACACACAGAGGCTAAAATGTTGTGCTAAAATTTAATTGCAATATCAAAATAATATATTATATCATTTTGGTATTGCAATTAAATTTTATGTTGAGCACAAATACAGGGAATAATGCATATGATGCATCACTCCTTGCCTCCCCTACCCAAAATGACCCCTCCCTCACTAGGCCTCCATTTTTTAAATTTTTTTCAACTTTCTCCTGAATGTATGAAAAATAGAATTTTAAAAAAGGGAATTTTTTTTGAATGAAAATAGTGCTTATAAACTTGTAATCAACTGGTATTCATATTTTTTTTTAATTTTATAAACATGTCAATTTAATGTTTATGAAATAATTATTTGTTGAGGTGTTTTCCATATATCACATCCAAATTTTTTCAATTTTAACCCCTCCTCCCTCTTTGTTATTGGTTCTTTCATTTTTGGTTAGTTTATTAAAAAAATGTATGTGTTATTGTGCATGTAAGTATGAGTATATACATGCACATCACGTTGTACATGAGTATGTGTATATGTTATGGTTTAAATTTTATTTTTTATTTATTTACCATGATATTTATTATGATATGGTATTTACAAAAAAATGCTCAGTTACACAGCACAAGTTATACAACACAAGATAAACATTTTTCTTCAACAGTGCGTTGCTTTAAATATTCAAAACAGTTCTTTCTGTAGTGATTACCCAAAGGACATTGCACAGACACACATGATATTTGATTGATTTGTATGTATGCTACTTAGGTTAGTAAGTTGCAGAGGTTGATATATGACCGTGGCTGGTGCCAAGTTTGATAAAAGACTTGATAAAAGCCAGGCCTGTATTTGTGATCAGAACTGCATAAACATTATAATACAATGTACAATATGTAACCATTGCATAATTATTGAAAATAATTTTGTTCTTTCATAGATAAACTATTTTTGTTTGAACTCATCCTTATTTAGATAATATTTTCTTTTAATAGATATGTGGTTGAAATGTAGATATAGATTTGTATGTAATTTATATGTGTTTATCATGTGTGATTGAGTTTTTGAAAATAATTTATTTTAATTTGAAATTCGTGCTACATTTTATATATATTTATATAAACATGATGATCATCATCACAATCATCGTCATTGCTTTAGCCTCTATTTTTATATATAAGATAATAAATATATAAACAATTTTAATTAAATTAGCATCTTTCTCTAACTTAAGTTTTGTCTTAATTGGAACACTAGTATTTTTTTTGGAAATAAAATGTCTTAAGGCTATATGTAAAGTCAGGGCTCGAATTAAGCGTATTGGAAATCGTGATTGCTTTTCACACCTTCACAAATAGTTTTTTCTTCAAAAAAAATTTCACGATTTGTTTTTGTTTTTTGGTTATTTATTTACTTTATTTTACTTACTTCTGAATAGATAATTATTTACTTACTTCTGAATAGATGATCATTTGCTTTTTGGCGCAGAGATTTTCATTAAACGTAAACACTTTTGAATTTAAATTACTTAAAGTCTCTAAGTGGAAGCCAATAGTATTTAAAAGTTGAAAAGGGAAAAGACGATAAAGCGATTTTTTTTTTTAATTCTTTTTTTTTTAACAAAACAGCCTGGTTTAAGTATATTAAAATAAATATTAATTTGTTTTTATTAATTTTTTTTTTAATAGTAATCTATGCTAAAAATAGAAACCAGCTACTTTTTTGCTTCAACATTTTTAAACATATTCTTAAACTTAAAGAAATATGATTTGATTTATTAAACCAAATTTTTTTGTTTTACTTTTTATAAAAAAACAATTTGAATGAAAACATCAATTTAAAAACCATTTGAATGAAAAACCTGATTTATTAGTCCTCTAAATCAAGAAACAATAAATTATAAGAAACATGGTATCTAATTTTTTTTTCTTTGATCTTACTCATTTGGTTTATAGATTATAGACTTGTATGGTCTAGAGGCATGATTTGCGCAAATATTAAGTTATATGACAAGCCTTCCCAGGAAAGGCGTGCGGTTTTTTGTCTTTATGACCACGAAAACGTTTTTCAAGTTAGAGAACGTTATCACGGCCGTTTGCGCAAGTTATATTATATACGTTACTGAAAAATTGTTTTAAGTTTAATAACTAAATAAGAAATTAAAGTAAACTTAAATAGAGAACAATAATTATAGTTTAAATAATTTATGTGTTGTTATTATTTTTGTTTTTTCTTAGTGGTTATTACTATCGGCAATAAAATTCATTAAGTCAAAGCAAAAAACAAAACAAAACAAAAAATGTTTTAGGCGTTAAAAAGAATGATTTTCCCATATTTTATGTGTTTTTTCTTTTAAAGAGGAAAGAAAAATATGTATTGTCATCTGTTTGTAAAATATATTTGTATAATTATAATGTAACAAGTTTATATCAAGAATTAAATTATAGGTCTTTAAAATTTTAGTTCATGCAAAGCTGTGTACTTTGTTTATAAGAAGCAAATTATTAAAAGTTTGCTAGCGAGAAAGTTACAAAAAATAAAACAAAAACAATAAACTTACGACTACAAAAGTAAAAACATTTTAGTCACTAACTGCATTATAAAAGTAATAAAACTATAATAGTGTTATTACATTTATAAAGCACTTATTACTTTTAAAGTTCATTCTTTGTTCAAACAACATTAATTCCAAACATTAAAGTAGAAAAGCATCTAGAAAAAATAAAGCCGATATTCAAATATTATTAAAAATTTCAGGAACTTTCACATATCACTTAAACAACGTTATAAAAAAGTACTTTATAAAAAGTATAGCATTATGAAAAACGTTACGTAAAAATGCATGTTAATTTTAAAATCAACCAATAATTTTTTATTGGTTAATTTTAAAATTAATGCGCGTTTTTACGGTCCATTAGTAATGTTTTTCATAATGCTAAACTTTTAATACGGTACGTTTTCGTAAAGTTGTTTGTCACGTTTTTATAAGTTACTTTAGTTTTAACATTATTTGAACATCCACTTTATTCTTCTAGATATTTTTCTACTTCAATTCAAATTTGGGATTAATAATGTTGCTTGAACATAGAATGAAAAAAGTTTTAAGTGTGTTATAAAAGTAATAACACTATTATAGTGTTATTACTTTTTTAATGCAGTTAGTGACTAGAGTGTTATTACTTTTGTAATTGTAAGTTTATTGTTTTATTTTTTATTTTTTTGCTAACAAATTTAAGTTGATTCTCCCCTTGAAAACAAGGAACACGGTTTTGTATAAACTAAAATTTTGAATACTAGATATTTTTCCAGATTTTGCATTTTGCATTCGCTTAGTTCAACCCTTGTTGTTACATTAAAATTATACAAATAAATTTTACAAACACATTGCAATTTGTATTTTTGCTATCCTCTTAAAAAAAAAAAATAAGGAAAGTTTTTGAAACTTTTTTAGCATTGTTAAAAAATTGTTATAAAACTTGCAAACAGTTGTGTTCACGTTTTCTAAAATGTTATAATCGCGCGTGGTCATACGAGACTAAAAACCACACGCCTTTCCTGGGAAGGCTTGTATGAAGATATTTTTTCAATTTATTAATGAGAACCATTTTATCAATTTGCTTTGTTTTATTTTAAACCCGTTTTATTTTATTAAGGTTATAAACTGTATAAAATAGTTTTCTATGACTAATTAATGTGGTTTAAATATTGTAATGCTTGCTTTTTACTCATAGTTTTTTACCTTTACTTTTTTAAGTATCATGTTAATGACGTTTTGAGAGATTTTGAAAGTTATTTCTCAAAAAAAGCATATCCTTTTTTGCATCATTTTTTAATATCTAATTTGGTGTTACATATTGATTGCACCAGGTAAACAATATTTTTTTATTGTTCTTATGTTAATTTACCTCCCTAAGGCCAAGAGTCCCACTACATTTGAAAAGGCTACTATACTTGTTGTTACAACCCTCTCTTAACTCAGAAACATGAACTTTGACAAGAAGGCTGCTGCTGGGAAACTGGTTGCCTTGATTTAAACAAAGTGGTGCCTTGATTTAAACAAAGTGGTGCCTTGATTTAAACAAAGTGATGCCTTGATATAAACAAAGTGGTGCCTTGATTTAAACAAAGTATTGCCTTGAAAAAATCGAATTTATTCTCAATAAAAGCACAATCAAGTATGTCAAATTATTGTTAAAAGTTTTGTAAGGTTGTCTGTTTGTATTATTCAAATCAAAAATATTTCATAGTCAGACCATCTTTAAAAATGTTTTATAGTTGAAACATCGGTTAAGAAAATAGTTGTTTCAGTTTCGGTAACATTTCCATACTAAAGTTTGTATAAATATGTAAGGATTCTGTATTCCAGAATAGAAATAATTAGCAAACACGATTATATCCATATTTATCCATATTATATACTACAATTTAATAAATAGTAAATGTAAACATAAATTTATAATATTTTATATATTATCAATTTGCCCTGGCTATCAGCCCCTTATAATTTTCCGGGACCAGGTTTGTAAAAAGTCCCATATTTAGCCATGGGCTAAGCCCTTGTTCTTTACTAAATCAAGTTGTTAGCAACAGCTATTCTTGGTTTTGAATTTTTTACTCAGATATAAGCTTTTTTATTGAAGTTTTTGCAATTGAGACTAAATTGAGAAATTATTTTAGCTAGAGTTTTATTGCAAAATTTTATTGTAAAGCTTATCCATTTTTTTTTTTTTGTCTTAAAAAATATATTTTAACAATTTATCATAAAAACACAAAACTACATTTTTTTCTTAGTTGCGAGAAAAAATATAAGCAACTCCTTGTGAAATATATTTTGACATTTTAATATCTACATTTGTTTTAATTTAGGTTGAAGATATGGACTCTTCTGTAAGTACTATGTAATTTATTAATAAATCATAAGTTTATGTTTTTAAAAAACTAAATTTTTTTATATTTCAGTTTATTTTTCCAAACAAGGGTAGATTATGTTGCTGTTGAATGCATAATTATATAAAGAAAAGTCAATGACTTTTTTATAAAATGTTTTATAAAAATATTAATGATTTTTAATGATTTTTAATTATCTATCGAAGATTTAATTTCTGCATGTACGCATTAAATAGCAACTCTAAAGCAATCACACTGGATTTTTCATCTCACTTTCACTGAAAGATTTAACCATTTGTATTTTATTTTTAAATGTTATGTAATCAGGCTTGAATCCTCTGACCATTCCTTTATATGCTTCCGTCCAGCACCTCTTCACTTAATAAACTTTTTCTTTGTGCTTTATTGTTTTCCATTATTTCAAGATTCCACTCTTTTTGATGTTGTTTCTTATCGATTTGACGGAGCCTTTTCTCATAATCTATCCATCAATATTTTTTTTATTGTGACTTTGATGCTCATTACAATGAGTAGCATAGTTCTAGTAACACTGGCTGGCAATAAAGAATAAAATTTTTATCTTCTACAATCTTATACTCAGATATTTAAGTTTCTGATTTGTTTTCCAGAAAACCCTCATTAATTTGTGTATTGTCTCTGACTGCTTGTGCTTAGTTTTTCTTTGTTCTACTTTGGTAGTTAGGACCATGCTATGCTAAAAAGTTTTATCTTGTGTGTGTGTGTGTGTGTGTGTGTGTGTGAGTGTGTGTGTGAGTGTGTGTGTGTGTGTCTATATATATATATATATATATATATATATATATATATATATATATATATACATACACACACATACATACAATGAAACTTCATTAAATCAAAGTAGCAACATTGGTGATGCCCAATATTTTTATTTTTACCACAGTTTAGATTTTTAAGTCAAATACAGATTTCATAATTAAAAATTTGATTTCCAGAATGTATAAATATGCATTATATATAAAACTATATATAAAAATTATAAATGTAGTCTGATGGTACATAGTTAACATTACTTATTATGTACATAAGAAATATGGTAAAAATAAATTTTAATAATTAAAATGAAAATGTGAAGTATTAAAAAATATATATATATGTTAAATTTATTGTTGTAATTAAATGACTGTAATTTTTTTTTTTTTAAACCTAAGGAGCCTATTGAAGTTGGTATGTCAGAAGATGTTCTTCAAAAGGTCAATTAATTTTTTCTTATATTTCTTGTATTCTTTAAATTCAAATTTGTTATATGTTTTGGTAGTTAAAATCAATTCATTAAATAAATAAAAAGATAATAATTAAATCTAATGTGATTTTATTTCTAATGTGATTTTATTTTTATTTTTTTCATACAGTTGCAAGATAAAGCAACTGAGCTGACAACAGAGAGGCGCAAGGTTTGAGATATTGTCATTAAAGTTTTTAAATAGTATTTTTATGTTTTGACTTTTTATATATGTATAAATATATTTCCTGGCTTGGATTTGTAATTTTTTATAGAGAGGCAAAAAGGTTCCAGAGGATCTTACTTCTGTTGATGATGTGCGTTCGTTCAGACAAATTGCATCACACCCTGTAAGTTTAGAAAACTATTTATCAAAGTAAAAATTTTTCCTTTATTATTTAATCATTAAAACATTTTAACCTGAAGTTACATTAAATACCATTATCAGGCTTGGTCAAGAAGCAGGAGCAAATGCTCTCGAATACTGACCACGGAAGTTATATTTAGTTGCAAAAAACTGGCCAGGTTTTTTAGTCGATTTGAGAACATTTTAATTTATGTAAGTAACAAAAAAATTTTGTTTTATGGACATATTCGCCAACACTAAAAACTTGGAAAATTAACAAACAAACTAATTCTATTGGTTCAAAAAATACGCTGACTAAGCGAAATAAAGTTCTAGAGTATTCTGTTGAAATGTTATAGAAATTGTATTATTCACGATTTGTTACATTTTGAGATTTCTAGCATTAATTGTTTTAAGAATATATTATCATTACTATGGCTCATTCTCGGAACCGCATCTGCAAAGCCGAAAATCTCAATAACTATTATTATTTGTTTACAAAAATAAATGTTTTAAATATATATTATTTAAATTGTCAAAATTTTGTAGTGTATTATAAGTAATTTTATTAGTATATTCTTATTTTTTATTTAAAAAGTATGTATTTTTTATGTAATTGTAATTTTGTATATCTGTTTTTTTTATCGTAATGCAATCTTTTAAAGCAATTTTTATGATTTTATTTGTAAACAAAGACTTACAAAAATAATTGCGTTTTTAATGAAGTTATTACTAATCATTAAAGTTAATAAAACTAATTATATAACAAACATATAAGAAGTTTCTGATTACTAAAGCAAACAATGAATACAAAATAACTCGCTGATGAACAAGCACCGCGCCTGAGGTCATGACAGAACACAAATATATATAGCAAGTTATTAGATAAAAAAAAATTTATAGATTTTGGTTTACTAACTCTAATTATTTTCGCTTAAGTTGCCATTCTTAAAAACTCATACATTTTTCTGCTTTAAATACTAATTAAAATTAAAAAGCACACTTATTAAACATTATCAGCGATATTATGAAGCAGTTTCGCTTCCTCGTCATAAAGTATTTTTAACCTTTTTGTTGATTTCTATTTAGTTAATTTAATTTCTTTAGTAATTCAATGATTTAATTATTTCATTTGTTTATCTTACTAAGAAGAATTGTTTAAACTTATCAAACTACGCGAAACATAAAATAGGTATTAAAAAAATTAACTTTTTTATTTATAAAATAATTTAGCTTACATAAAACTAAAACTTGCAAACTTTGTTAAAAGAGAGTATATGTTTCCTTTTTAAACAATCGTAAGTTGTTACTTAATATAAAAAACATCGCTTAATTTTATAAAAAAAATTATAAAAGAGCAATGTTTCGAAAATATTTGTTCTAATTATAATTTATTTAGCTTCAAGTTTTTTTGTGTTTAAAGATATTTTATTTGCCTAATTTTTTTTTAAATTGTCTCTCATCGATCCAATTAATCTTGAGCGCATTTTTTTTTTTTTTTTTTTTTTTTTTTGCTTTTTGAAATGTTCTCAAAACAACTAAAAAATCTGGCCAGCTTTTCGCAACTAAATATTATTTATATATAATATGGTCAGCAATCAAGAGCGATCACTCCCGCTTCCCAACCAAGCCTGCATTATGATAATATTCCTTATATTAAAGTTACAGTAAAATAAATCTTATTTTGATTGTTTTATTCGGATTCATCTAGGGTTTACATAGCGCAAGTGTACCTGGTATTCTTGCACTTGACTTGCAAGAATATGATACATCGAAGGCTATTACTGGTAATTAAATATTTAAAGTATTATATGTTTAGTTTATATAATTTACAAATAATGTTCATATTAAAAATAATTGGATGTAATGCTAAATATTGTTGCAGAGTATATTGTTATTCTTGTAGCACTTGTTGATGGTTACAATTATGAGAAATAGATTTTAAAGAATTGATGATTTTGATATTTGAAATTTGATATTATACAAATTTTAATTTAATTTTTTACCCAAATAAACTGGTTTGGTGCATATGCATAACAAATTTGTAAAATGTTTGTATTATTATTTAAAACAAGTTTATTTAAAATTAAGTTGTTAAATGTGGCAGTATACGAATCAAAAATGGTTGGATTTTTTTGTTATAAAACATTTTAGTTAACCAGGGTGCTGGTCAACCAAAACGTTTTATCATATTTAAAATATTTTTGTCATTTATCACAAGTTCTGATCAGAGTATTAAAAATTTAGTTAAGACAGTTATCTTATTTAGCTTCAATCTGATATGCATCATATAACTTTTTTAGTTTTCTTTTACCAGAGTCAGAATTTTTGGTTTGCTTAATCATATTAGAATCTTTAACTGTGCGAATAATATTGTCCTTTACGTTGATCTGTTCTTTGCAGTGGTAAAAGAGGAGACTGCGAAATGCATCACCATTTATAGATAATCTTAATGAAGAAAATTGGTTAGTGGCCTTTTTGACAAATGAAACTTCAGAAGGGCTTTTTTGTTGAACTGCCAGTATTTACATAATTACAAATTTATTAGTATGAAAAGTACTAAATAGCAGAGTTGTTAGTCCTTGGCCTTGGTCTTGCCTTGCCTTAAGGCCAAAAATTAAAGTCTTGGTCTTGGCCTTGAAACTCTTGGCCTTGGCCTTGATTGTTTTGGCCTCGGGTTTATAAAAATACATATTTTTTTATTGATTTTGTTGAATTCTACGCATAACCTTGGTCTATATTTACAAAATGTGGCTTTATTGTCACAGCACTTGCTACTTACAGTTTTGTCAGTAATTGGCCTTAATGTAAGGCAAAAATTGAAGTCTCTGGTCTCAAAAATGCTTGCATAGGCCTTGGCCTTTAAACTTTTAATCCTGGCCTTGACCTTAAAACTTTAGGCCTTTTCCGTGGCCTTGGTCTTGTAATGTGTGGCCTTAGTCTTGTCCTTGCTAACAACTCTGATAAATAGTAAATACTGTCATATTGCTGTTCATGTTATGAAATGTTCAATATTCAATTAGTTGTAAAAACAACACATCACATTTGATGAACAAAATAATATATGTTTTTTGTTTTAAGTAATTAATAGCAATTATATAATATGTGTATAAATAGCTTATGCAAATTACTATCTTTTTATATTTTTTTAGTTCAAATAAAAATTCTAAATATACAACATTTAAAATTTACATTTTAAAATTACGGGAAGTTTTTTATTTTAAATAATTATTTGCTTTTGACAAAATGGCTGCTGTGTACAAATTGCACAAAGAACTACAACAATTGATTTGTATAGTGTCCCAGAAGTGCTGCACTATGGTTTTAAAAATTATATTTTGATATATTTTTTATAAATATAACAACCTCTTTTTGTATTACATAATACAAAATGTTTTTTTATTAGATCACAATATTGACTATTGACAATTTTCTTACTGTATACTGTTAATACAAAAACATAATTTATAAATATGAATTAAAATTTCAAAAGAAAAAACATTTTAGTATTAGCTAAAATAAAATTTTAATTTACTAAGTACATGGGTTTTTTGTTTAGGTGGTATGGACAAGAATGCTGTTGTGTTTAATAAAGAAAATGAACAAGTAAAAATTTTTTTCATATATATAATATTTTGAAATGTGTTAAACTGGCTTCATGATTATCTTTAAATTTTAAAATTGTTCTAACCAGGTTGTTGCAACTCTAAAAGGTCATACAAAGAAAGTTACCTCTGTTATTTATCATCCTCATGAGGTATTTTTTAATATTGTTTAAGTTGTTTTAATAATTTTGATTTATATATACATAGTTGCATACTTACATATATACATACTTTCATACATATATACTATGGTGTTTCATATTTTATCAATTTTTGAAATTAAACTTGCGAATTGATTTATAAATTGACCATTTATATGAAAATATGTTTGAGCATTAAAAAATATATATATGAGACAAATTGGAAAAAAATCTTAAACTGATTAACATACTCCCATAGTGGCGCCAGGCTGTTTAACCAAAGTTTATCATTCAGTTTAGTGAGGTTTAACTAACTAAATATGAACCAAGAGTTTTCTCGCACTAGTTGTGCAATACTTGGTGGTTTTTCTAGCTTGAAGTTAAGAGCTTTAAACAAATTTAATTTCTTATGTCGAAAAAATTCAGGAACTGGTTTTGAGAAGAGCATTTTCGAATTACCTTCTCTCTCTCTCTGCAACAGAAATATCATGCTCTAGAAGAGCAAGTGGAAACAGGGTTTCATCAAGGTACCATAAATGTGATTCCATTGAAACCATTGTGGCATCAATTCCATTTAAAATTGTTTCAGAATTCTGAACATATTGTTTTATGTATTCTCTATATTTTGTCATTTTCCAATAGGCTGTTTTATCTTGGTAAGGCGCAGCGTAAGGTAAAGAGGTTTTTAAAAAGCAGACAGAATAAAAGATTGAGATAAGCTCGGCTGTAGACTGAACTTCTTTGTTTTGATTATCTGTCAATTCATAAGAATGTTGCAAACTCAATATGAATCTTGAGTTAATAGCTTTGGTCATAAAATGTGCATGCAACACCCACCCTAAAGCTTAAATTTGAAAAACTTGGGTTTCAATAGCTCTTTGTAATCTCCTCTGGGGAAAATATTTTCCTTTAGAGCCATCTCGCAAACAAAGTAAGAATCTTATTTTACATACTTTGAAGAGTCAATGCTACTTTTAATGTCATTCCAGTTTAATTGCAATCTTTGAAAATTAAGTTTTCTGGAGATTTAGTTTTTCCACTGCACTGTTTTTCACAGAAGTGTTTTAGATGTAATTTATAAACATGCCTCCTCCAAGCCAGCTCTAGTACAATTAAATTTTGTTCATGAATAAACCTGACATTTGTACCAGGAAGTTATCCTGTATTTGTAGCAAATGTATCAAAACATAAACTTTTTATATCATCACATATTCCATATTCATCCTGTATTTTAACTAAAGCATCATTTTGAGCTTCCCCAGTACCATGTATAATAGCTGGAATGGCAAGCAGCTTCATTTTACCATCAATATTTACAGAGACTGCAAATTGATTTCTTTTTGATTTTTTACCTCTTATGATATCTTCTATAATTTTCCCATCAAAGTATGCTATTATGGGAAAAATAGCTTTATTGGTAGCAATTTTAACATTTTTCTTATATTGTTCAGCATTTTCCTGAATAGATTTTTTTTGAGCTCGCCAAATAGTTGAATAAGACAATGAAAAATCAGCCATGTTTCCACCTGAACTTATAATTAAATCCATACATATATGCACTAGATCTCTTGATGAAATATTTTTTGTCATGGCAATATCTTTAACAAAACCCTTCCCTAATTCTTGTTTTTAATTGCTTGGTCCGGGTTGCGCTAAATCAAAAGAAATATCTGATTCTGTACTAATATCACTTATGTCTGAGAAAAGCTCTAGCTCTGTAGTTGATTTGTCTAATAGGGGTAATTGTTTAACATTACATTTTTTTAACTGCTTCTTTTTTTATTTACAGTCTTATATCTCATGTCTTTGCTCCCCAAAGTCATAAGGCGACCGGAATTTTGGTCTTTTAAAAATTTGATATCAGCATAATCTGACAGTTTATCAAACTTATTTTTTTTAAGATTTCCTCAATATTATCTTTACCAATCCAAAAAACCTGCTCCCTTTCTTTTTTAATTCTTCCCTAGATTTCTCTGCTGCTCTAAAGTCCTTACCTTTACCTTTCTTAAATGTCTTCCAACTAGCGATTAAACAAATGATATTATCCTTGCTAAAATTACGGTAATACATTAAATGAAATTAAAATATTAATGACACATTTATAACATATATATACATATATATATATATATATATATATATATATATATATATATATATATATATATATATATATATATATATATATATATATCATATTACATATTTGTTTTGTTGTTTAATAATAAGAAATTTTATTTAATCAATAATTGATCAGACCACATAGTTGTTATATTTAGCTATAAACCCATACATAATAACAATTTAAAAAATAATAATTGGAGTGGTATTAAAAAAAAAACCTATCATCTACTAGCCCTATCATCTACTAGCGTAATAAGTTCAAAGGATTATAAAAATTCATTTTAACTATTTTATTATAAATTGAAATGATAAAACTTTAGATTTATCCGTTAATAATCCATCTTTGTATACTCTGTCTAACCAAGGTTTTTTTACTGCAAAACAAGTACAGTTGTTGCTGCAAGAGCACTTTGCGAATTTATCGGGCCCATCAGTACAACCAAAAAAATTTTTGGACAGACATTGGAAAGTAGTTGTTAAATTTTAAACTATTGTTCAAGTACATTCATACATTTTTTTATTATATTTTCCGATAGAATATCTGGATTTTAAATTTATTGAGCTCTAATGTTTATTAAGTAGGGGCCAATAAGGTAAGTGTCCGGGGCATGTCCGGCTCCATGGATCAAAATTTTTTTTTCAAGACTTAATTTTATACTATTATAAAAACTATCCAGTATATAGTTTTTTTTGTGTCTGGAAACAGTTTATAAGAAAATCAAACACGTTTTTTTATACAACACCGAGCAATAAAATATGTTTTTGTGAAGGAAAATTTTGATTTTTCACTAGTTTCAGAAAGTTCTGTAGACTAATTTCTTAATTTTTTCAACATGCTCCTTCTATGTGATTAATATTCAATTCAATATATAATATTTAAAAGAGTAAAAAATTTTATTGGATAAATTTTAAGGTCCCTGCCAGGCATTTAAAACATCCAACATTTTTGGCCTAAAATTGAATTGGCGGGGGTTTTTTTCTTGCTCAAAATTATTTTCATATAAATTTAAATCTATTTGGGAGTTTAATTTTAAAAGTTGATAAAATATGAAACACCCTAATACATAAATACAAATTCTAGGATTCGCTGGTATAGGGTAAACAAAAAATTTAGTATATAGTTTACCATATAGTATACAGTAAAAGATTCTGTAAAGTATACTGTAAACAAAAAGTTTTGTGACAAAACTGTTATACAAGTTTTTTAAAAAAATTTACTGGTTTACGTAAAATAAATGTGGTTGTTTATTATTTAATCTTTTTTAGTGTGTTTTTTATTATACTAGTAAACATTAGTTACATATTATCACTACATAAATTTAATTTTTTTTATGATAATTCACCTCCCCTAGGCTAAGAAGGCCACTAAAGTCAAGGAGGCTACTTTAGTTGTTAGTAAAATTATGAATTCAGCCCAAAAAGAATTTTTAAGTATAAGTAAATAGGTATACTAAACTGTATACTAACTTTTAGTATATCAAATATACAGTAAAGTATAACGTAAAGTTAGTATACCATATACTGTAACCAGTGATCCTAATACAAACATACATACTTGCATATATGCATACATACATAAAGTTAGTATACCATATACTGTAACCGGTGATCCTAATACAAGCATACATACTTGCATACATACTTGCATACATACTTGCATATATGCATACATACATATGGTTTATAATGATCTATCATAATGGGAGCTATCCCTCTAGATATGTGAACATAATAATTAAGAATTCCAGGGAGTAATTATTAATCAAGTAACAAAAGTATATATCTTGATAATTTAGGGAAGAAAATAATTTTTTTACTTAAATAAGATTAAATGCAGTGTAAGTTGCATCATTATTGATAAAGCCATGCTTGAACTAGTGACATCTTCTCTCTACATAATTAGGAATTGTCTTTTTCTGTTTTGTGCAATCAAATAGTAACTTTTAAAAGTGTTACTGCTAATTATGGAATATGTTTACTATTTTCAAAATGAATTCCTTGAAATACGAGTGGAAAACCAAATGATAAAAACAAAAGTTGTGGTTATTTAAAATAAAGATTTCTTTAATTTGTTGTTTTTAATATTCCATCTATTATTCATAATTAAAATAAATATTCATAATAGTAGTATAAATTCATAGCAATCATGTTAGTAATTTCCTGATCAACTTGAGTATGGAACAAGTTAAAAGAACTTTAACTAAGTAATCTGATCGAATATCAGATAAAATATCAGAGTATTAAATGTGTTGTTGCGCATAGATCTATCTATGAATGAGTCAGGTTCTCTTTAAACTTACATCATGCCCCAAGTAACCTAAAACCCATAACTTCTTTATTTCTCTATTTCTTACTTAGGTAGTTAACTTGTGACTTACTACTAACCTAAAGCTGGCTGTGATTCTTTTTGTGATTTTTTTCAAGGCTGATGTCTTTTCTCTCTCCTCTGGTAAATGCACCTTCTATGTAACCTCATCAGTTCCAAGTCAAGCCTCATTTTACTCCATAGTTTGATAGTTTTTTTATTTTTTACAGCTTAGTTATTTGTTTCAACTGTTTGTTGTTTTTTTTTTTTTTTTTTTTTGAAATTTTTAATTCAATGTTTATAAATTTTTCTTGTCGAGACTTTTTTTTGACATTTTCAGAAAATTTCTGCAACTGATTTAGGTTTGTCTTTACAAAGCAAATGAGTTATTTTTATGAGCTTTATATTTATCTTTAAATTTTTTTTTTATTTTTATTTTTTTATTATCATACACTTTATAGATTGACTTAATATTGCTGCAAAGTAGTTCTAAAGTAAATTTAAAATTTAACCAATAATGGTCAATTTTGAATTGTCATTTTCTAAAGAATTATTGAAAATGTTTTAAAAACATTATTTCATTCTTTATATTTGTTTATTCATTTAAGCCTGAAAACAATGATAATCATAAACTCTCAAATATTATCAATTAGAGGATATAAAATATCATCTCGTTATAAAATGATGTTCTCATTACTAATTTTACTTAAAGTTTCATTGTTGTTGTTTTAACTATTATATTATAGTTATTTATAATATGGTTGTTAAAACATAAGAATATGTAATTCTTTGGTTGAATGATAAGTTGTTAGATTATATAGGAGATTAAGTTTCACACAGCCATATGCTTATTTATCTGATGGTCAATTAAATGAGATATTTTTAAAGCTGGATCATTATTATGCATACTACGTAAAAGCAAATATATTAATAAAAGGTTTTATTAAATTATACTATTTATTCAAAACCTTTTCATCATTTCACTCCAACCATAGTGATTATCTAAAAACAAAAAATAACTATCAGATTTTTTTTTGTGTAAATTCAAGCTTTGTTTTATAAATGTTAGACAAATAAAGGCTACATAATTACATTTTGTAAAGAAAATGTAAAAAAAAAAAAATTAGTTTTTTGTTGATAAATATTAGGATTTTGTGTTTATCTATTAATTAAAAGTTTTATGAAATGAAAGTTGTTTTGTTTTAATGTTCAGTAATATTTTATACTGTAGCTTTTGATCAGCATGAAACTTCACTGATGACATCATTTTGAGATAGGGATAGAAGTGGGTTTCAGTACATACATTGGCCTAATGTTAGAATTTCGGCAGGCTGTTTTTAATAGTGAATATTTGTGATACCAAAAAATGTGGTTTTTTTTTTTTGTTTTTTTTTTTTTTGCTCATTTCTTTTTTGATTTAGGATACTGTGGCTTTATTTTGTCAAAAAGATATTAGTAAATTGTTAAACATAGATTTTTTGAAGAAAAAAATAAAAAAAAGAAAAGCGTTTTTGCTTTTATCTTTTTTTTAATAATCATACATAAACACTTCCTGTGCGATTTGTAACTGGTTATTCAAAGTACTTCTTTTTATCTATGCTTTTTTTGTGTGTGTGCAGCAGAAGTATTTTTTAATGTATTTACATATATTAATGTATTTACATTTATTTTTTGTTTAATCTTTTTTATTGCATATATATATATATGTATATATATTAGTGATGTACCGATTAATCGGTATCGGCTAAATCTGCCATTTTTTGCACAATCGGTATCGGCATTGGCCTTTTTTACCAATTTTTCAACTGATGGCATTTTGATATTTTTATCCTGCATTATAATAATAATTAAATAATAAATAAACTAAACTTTGTGCATTACTTAGAATTTTTTGGATAAATTTTTATTTTGACTTTGTTTACAGGCAAAAGCTTTAAAAGTAACCTATTTAAGCATTGTTATCTATATATTTTAAATTCTTTTTCACTCCCAATAAGGCTTCAAGCAACCACTATAAAGTTGGGAGTTGCTAGAAAAAAAGAGTAGAGTTATAGAGCAATGAAGTGGTTGACAGAAGACTTAAAAATTTGAAGGTTGTATGAGTCAGGAAAACATTAAGATGGGGCAGAGTTCCGAAGGGTTAAAGTGCGTGGAAATAAGCTAGACAAATAAACATTTTTGGAGCATGAAGAGACAGATTCAGTCAAAGAATGAGACTTTGATGTCAAGTCAAGCAAGAATTAGTTTTGATTGATGGAACTAAAGATGAAAGCTCCTTTGAGCAGTAACCATGATAGTATTTGTAGAAAAGAGAAAGAGATGCAACTTTATGATGATGGGAAAGAGGCTCAAGCTTTGCAGATAGACCGGGTCCAACTCTGTTTACAATGCGTTTTTAAACCTTATCTTGAAGAGAAAGAGCAACATTAGAAGAACCAACCCAAATATGATAACAGTATTCCATACAGGGACGAATAAGAGATTTGTAGAGGTAGGAAATGGAATCAGGAGAGAGAAAATGGTGAGCATGATAAAAAGAAGCAACCTTAGCAGATGCTAATTTAGCAATCGATTGTATATATGGTTTCCATGAAAAGTCAGTAGTAAATGATAATCCAAGAAGACGAAAAAAAGTGGAATTAGTGAGAGGGTTGCCATTCATCAATAGTGGAATGTCGACAGTACTACAATAGTTATTTATCTGACAGCAAGTTATTTGACTCGAGATGGAATGTGAGAAATTTGTTTATCAAAGACTCAAAGACCTTGCTAATAACAGAAAGAAGACTGATTGGACAATAATCGGAGGGGTCAGTATGTTTACCAGAGTTTTAAAAAAACAACAGATGCCATTTTCCAGCAGGCAGGAAAACAAGATTCAGTCAAGCACTTATTAAATAGTTTAGAGAAAATTGAAGAGAGTTCTGGAGAACAATTTTGTAAGACTGTGACAGGAATGTTGTCTGGACCACAAGCCATAGAAGAGTTTAATCGAGATATGACTATGAGTAATGGAAGCTGAAATGATTCGAATGTCTAACAATGGGTTAACTTGTTTGATTAGAATGAAAGGAAGAGAATGGCCATAAGATTTGAAAGTCAGATTAGAAGAGAAGTTCTTTGCAAATAGTTCAGCCTTATTTCATGAATTTAAGTATAGCCAAGTACCAAGTATGTTTCTATATTTTTAATTTTATTTAAATTCACCTCCCTAAGGCCACAAAGGTCACTTTAATTGAGGAGGCTACTTTAGTTATGGTTACAACCCACTTTCAAATTTAGAACTCAGAAACACAAACCTTAATGAACAATGCCGCTGCGTGTAGAAACAAGTTAAGCAATGTACTACCAGGGACATGGTGGAGATCCAACATTACAAATTAAAATAATTCTAAAAACAATTTATCTCAGAATAATTTATCTCTAAACAACATATGATTGTTGTTTAGATATCTGAATTACTAATAAATTAATAAAGAATTTTAAGTAAACTGCATATGCATATTTTCTTTTTTTTAAATTAAAATAAAAAGTGTTCCTCTAAAATTGTATTTATATTTTTGAAAGTTTTTTTTTCATAGCAAAAAAAAAATTAAAAAGGTTATTTTTTTTAACTGTTTTTCCAATATCTTTTAAAAATCATTATTTGGCTTTGATTTGAGTCCAAGTATTTGTTTACCAATACCAATTTAAAGTTGTATGGTTTTATATTTTCAAATTTTTAATAATTAGTAAAATTTATCAGCATCAGTAACGGCCTTTTCCCATTCATCGGTATCTGCATCGGTTAAAAAAGTGATATGGGTACATCGCTTATATATATGTATATATATATATATATATATATATATTTATATTTATATATTATATACATACATACACACACACTTGTATGTATGTATGAATATGTATATATATTATTATTGTTATTATAGGAAATCGGAATTACAGCATCAGCTGACAACACTGTCAGAGTTTGGAGTATACCTAACAGTTCTTGTGCCTATATTATTAAGGTATATTTTACAATTATTATTAGTTAGTGTTTAAATAAATTTTAACAAACAAGGTTTCTGCACAGAGAAACAAGTTGATTTATGCATTGTGTATGCATTAATAGCTTAACATGAACTTTATGTATAACTTTGTTATTTTAGTTATTTTAAAGCTATCTTTTTTATGTTTTTGATCAAAGTATACTTTATGTTAAGATAAAGTTATTGTTTTTAATAAACATATCTGATTTCTATGGTTGACTTTGCATATTATTAGTAAAACACTTTTTTTTATTATTTTTCCTTTGCTTTTTTTCTATTTTTTTTTGAATATGTTCAGCAAATATAGTTGTTACATAATGCTCTTAAAATGTTAAATTTGAATACTTATAGATGCAAAGATTTTTTATTTTGTTGATATCGTATTGCAGCCCATATCTGACCCTGGGCTAAAGAAATTACTCTTTAAAAAAATAATTAGTGCGCTAAAATTAAAACTGTGAGCTGTTTTCACTAAAACTAATAGCTTTAAAAAGGTTTTATGTAGCTTAACTCAAGCTGGAATATTTTTGGATGTTATACTTTTTCATTTTAACAATTAAAAGGTAGTGCTTATTTAAAAAACAAGTGTTTCTGTAAATATTAATGTATATTAGCAATATTTTTTTTCAATTTAAAAAATCTTTTAACTTTAAAAATTTTTCATGTTGCATTTTTCTTATCATTTATTTAGGCTCATGATGATGCTGTTACAGGTCTAAGTTTACATGCAACAGGTACTGTATTTTTTTAAATGTAATTAAATGTTACAATTTTTTTTTAAAGCAGTATTTCAAACAATTGCTTTAATGTAAAATGGAAAGAAAAAAAAAATATGAGCATGTGTAGTTTTGATTTAGAAAAATTTAAATTTACACTACATATGCTTGCATGATTATTTTTCTCATTCCTATAAAAAAAACTGACAATTTTGAAAATCACCTTTAGAGCTTGAAAAACGTTTTTTTTTTAATAAAAAAAAGGTATTTGTGCATTCCCAAGTAAAAAAATTCAAAGAAGTAAAAAAATCTAAAGTGAGGCTTAGACTAATATTTATCCAGAGTTTTTATGCACTATTGTTAAACAATTGTTATATAATATAATCCAGAGTTTTTATGCACTATTGTTAAACAGAATTTTAATAGTCATGACTTTTTCTTATAGGCGACTATGTCCTAACATCTTCAAGAGATCAGGTAAATATTTTAAGACAATTAGATAACATAAAATAGTAATGTACAAGCTGAACTGAGTTGAAACCTCTCTTTCTTTTAGTACTGGGCATTTTCAGATATTCAGACAGGAAAAATCCTTTGCAAGAACATTTCAGACCCTAACGCAAATCATGGTATTTGACATAAAAAAATTTACATAATTTTATTTGTTAAAAATTAATATTTTTGTTAAAAATTAATCACTTTTATTATATTTTTATTAAGGTTTAACTTGTGCACAGTTTCATCCTGATGGTTTAATTTTTGGTACTGGAACAACAGATAGGTATGAGGAGTGTAAAACGTTATGGAATCAGAGAACCATTGACCTGGGTAGTTATTGATTAGATTGTCTAAAAATGGGAACAACTTTTGTTTTATTAAAAAATTTTCTACATTTTTATATTGTTCGTCACCTATCAGACCATACCAGTAAATTTTGTGTGGATCATTTTTGAAAAATGAGGCAATATAGAACACCATATTTTTCTTGATTTATGAAACAAAATTCTTTTATAACTTTGCAACTAGATGTTTAGTTACTTTATGAAACACATACAGCCATAAAGCCTCAGGGAAACAAAAGACAAAGTTAAGTTATTGAATAAGTGTGAGTTGAGTAAGTTTTGAAACAATTGTATAGATGCCTAATGTAAAAGCAAATAACTTAGTGGAATAAATGGTAGTAATTAATTATGTCTATCCCCAGCAGTAAAAGAAGTTCAGGCCCGATAGAGCTATATAAAGTATATGAGTATATTATAGAGCTATATAAAGTTTGCAATGAGGACAAGTGACATTCAGTAAATAAAATAGAAAAAAAATCAATACTTATTAGTTGTACCCTATTTCAAGGTCACATATCTCGGAGACTGGTCTGTTAAAACATTTATTATATTTTGACACTCAAATAATTTTTTTTATTTCAATAACAATATATTGTTATTGTATTATAAAGACGAATTACAATGCAATATTTATTGTTATTGTAGTGGGCCATTATAGTACTTTTTTTTTTTTTTTTAAGATATTGTTATTATTTTATAAAGATGAATTACTATACAATATTTATTGTTTTTGTTTCTAAGTTAATACAATTACAATAGTTATTGTTACTGTTATTGTTTTCATTACAATTACAATAGTCCTAACTCTAGATTCATCTATCAAAAATCCAATTTTACTATTTTTATGCAATATATAGTTTACAAACTTTGTATGTATTTCATTAGAAATATGATGAACAATATCAGCACATGCATGTTCTGATTGTAAAATACAACCCATACCTAAACCATTTTCTACCTGCAAAGATATTAGTTCTGTCAAATCAGAAAATGGAAAATTCATTTTTGCAATATTATACACAGTGCGAAAAATGCGGTAGGTAGTTTTGTATGATTGATCTGCATTTTCAAACAACACATCTCTACTGCTTGATTTTTTGGCTGAGAATAAATTTTACAAGCTTTTGTCATGTGCATAGTTTATGACATAAAGACTTTTTCCTCATTGATTGCTGTTTTTTTTGTTTTTTTGTTGTTTTTTTCTTCTTGTTTCACCATTTTCTTTAAAGTTACAAAGCTTCCACTTGCTAGCCAATTTTAATACCTGAGTTTTTTAAATAATTTGCGGGCTTACAAACAGAACAGCCAAAACTATTTATTGAATCTGTCAACCAGTCAAATGAAAAAAAAATTTCTTTCATTGTATATAAGACCATTAATCAGGAAAAAAAGTGTCGTCGCGTTGAGGAAAGGATATACAAGGTTCAATAATCTATGAGTTAGTGATTTTTTTATTTATTTCAGTAGCGCCATCCAAATTACATATAGAACTATTGCTGCTTAATTGTCTTTTTGTGTCGCTTGCTAGCCATTTACCTATTTTGTTACCATTTAGTAGCCATTTACCCATCTTTGTTACCATTTAGTAGCCATTCACCCATCTTTGTTACCATTTAGTAGCCATTTACCCATCTTTTTTACCATTTAGTAGCCATTTATCCATCTTTGTTACCATTTAGTAGCCATTTACCCATCTTTGTTACCATTTAGTAGCCATTTATCCATCTTTGCAATTAGCAATTATTTTTCTTTCGATAAAAAACTCGAAACTATAAATGTCAAGTAAGACTAATGGATTCTATATTTCATTCCACAAAAAAAAAATATTATGGAGAAAAAAAATGCCAGCAAAATGTCTTTAAATTTGGTTCTTATTAGTAACTTGTTTTTAAATACAAAAGAAAAAATGCATTATTTTATAATTTTAGATTTTATTATTGAACTTTATGCAGCAATTTTTCAAGTATAAATTTAATAACAGCTGAAGCGTTACTTCATTTGCTCAAAACTGCAACTTTGCTGAGCCATGGCTTTTACATTTTTATTATTAAAAAAAAAAAAAAAAATTTATAAATTTATTAGTTACCGGGATGGCATCCTGCCCAATTATAAACACTAAATAAGGTAAGGGGATGGCATCCCACCTCACTTCGAGGACTGAATATATATAAATATATATATTAGGGTAGGCCAATAAAAAAATTAAAAATTACTTGTCTGTAAAAAAACATGATCCTTTTCACATAAGGATTCAAACTATTTAAAAATGTAAAAAAAAAAATTTCTAAGTAATGCTAAATTTGATTCAAATAATTGCTACTTATTGCAATTTTTGACCACTTTAAAAACTTTGTTTTGCATAGCCTCTCCCTAAAGATAAGAAATTTTATTTAAATTTGTTCTATATGTTTATTTTTATGTATATATTTCAAACTATCTTCTTAACTAATTTTGATGTATTGATAGTTACCTTAAAGGTTCGAAAACAGCTTAATTTTAAATGAATTACATTTTTGTCCCATTCCTACAAGTGAATTTTAAGAGATTTTCCATTGTTTTATAAGTTATAAAAACACATCACTGCCTGTAGGAATTTTGATAATTCAGCAGCATCTTATAAATCTCCTATGTGTGATAGGGTGTAGTGTAGGGTGGGGTAATATGGATATTCAATAAGTAGACATGGATTAAGTTATCTATACATGATGCTAAAACCTAAAAATTACTAAAAGTTTACACACATAACTAGCTTCATTTTTTCTTTTTTTTTTTTTTTTTTTTTTTCTTGCATTAACAATGTTTATGTTTGATTTACAAGAATAGTTTGAATGTTAAACATGTTATTTTGAAAAAAATATGAAAAACATTGCGTTTTAAAACTTATGTCTGCAGACTTCAATAATATTACTTTTGCAAGTATAATAATGTAAATTCATTAGTTGGACCATGATGCAACATGTAAAATTTAATAATATTCTATTCTCAATTCAATCAATATGAAAAAAATATACGGTAAAGATAATTGATAATATTCATTTAATAAGATATAAAATGTCCTGGGAAACGCAACAAAATGTCCTGGAAATGTCCTGGAATTTAACTTTTAAAATTTTGTGGCCACCATGTATGTAGATTCCTTTGCTATGTAGATTCTTGCTATGTAGTTTACTGGTCATTCTTTCATGTAGTTTACTGGTCATTCAGGGATTATCTTTTTCTGGATATTTCTGGAATTCTGGATATTTTTCTCGACTTTTAGCTTTTCCGGATATCAAAAATGTTTTCCATACATACAAGTTAAGGTATTTATTTTTCTAATATATTTGTTTTTTAAGCTTTTTCACTAATTATTCATACAAAAATCAAGTAAGGTTAAAAAAAAACTCAAAACAACTCAGCTAAAAGCAAAATTAAGAGGAATATAAGGGAAAATATATTCCGGATTTTTCCGGATATTTTACCCTAATGATTTTCTGGATTTTTAAAATGACCTGAATGATCTATGTTATAAACAAACAAGAAGGTGGTCAATGAAAGCAGAGCATGAACTGTTTCCGTCTTACTATAATGTATATGAATCCAAAAGGTTGTGTTAGCCTCCAAAAGAATTTGTTTTTATCTCAGGAACATGAGCTGAAATTAAACTTCAAGCCAGTTTGTTCCATTGAGATTGAATGATGACTGTAATATGATTATTTGGCAAAATCCTCATCCATCATCAACACTGTATTGTCGACCAATTAAATTCATATTTTCAAAGAAAACAAGAATTTACTGTAATAGAAACTTACAAAATTTTCAAAGAAATGTCTGAACTTCTTCCAACACTGTGTACTGTTGGTGAATTTAAATTTATTGTGAAACACAATCTGTTACTTACAATGACAGACGGGAAAGTATGCAATGCTTAAACCAATATGGGCTCTACACAAAAATGTTTTATTTGTGGTGCTACTCGAAAAATGATGAATGGTAATTTAAAAGGTATGGTTGATAAAAAAGGAAATTACAATTTTGATCTTTCTACCTATCCTGCTTGGATACATACTTTTGAATGCTTGCGTTTAGTCATCAAAAAGTGGCAAGTTAGAGACAATAAGGATAAAGGTTGTATCAGAGAACGTTCAGAAGAGATTAGGCAAAAGTTTAGAAAACAAATATGACTTATTGTGGATAGACGAAAACCTCATTATGGCAGTACGAATGATGACAACACAGCTCGCAGGTTTTAAATCCAGAAAAGCGTGGAGAGATAGCAGGATTAGACATCATTTTTAATTAATTTTTTAATTATATTAAAAAATTAGTGTTTTATTAAGAAAGTTATTTTCTGGCCATGACATTGATTGTGTCAAATTTGGAAAACTTTGTTCTAAAACAAGGACTTTATATTTACATTTATATTCATGGTATTACATGCCTGTTACAGTGCATAAAATTTTAATGCATAGCACAGAAGATTCTAAAGTTGTGTATTCTTCCAATTGGCCAGTTCTCAGAAAAATCTCAAAAAGCACGAAATAAAGATTGTAGGAGATTTCGAGAACTTCATACTAGGAAAAAGTCATGTGTTTCTACAAATATGGATTTGCTGAATGTGCTCTTAATAACATATGACCCTGTTATCAATTCACTAAGAGAACTGCCTGCAAAAAGAAGAAAAAGATTGCCAGTAGAGGTTTTAAATTTGATTGTTCCGGCTCCAAGAATAGGAAATTGTAACTTGTCCGGTGAATTAAAGATGAATCATCTGAGGTTCAAGTATGAGTGTTTGGTGTATATAAATGACGAGTTTTTTGATAACTAAATATAAAATTTATTGTATAATATTATGTATCCTTGTTTCATAAATATACTTATTCTTTTTTATTTCATTTTTTTAATATAACAGTTGTTGTTGCAATGAGGGGGAATGTGGGGGTTATAGGCGAGGGGTTTTCCTCCTATCCTCTGCAAAAAAACTTCTAATTATTAAAACCAAGAGATTTATTCAATAAAATATCATTTATTTCAAACTTTCATGATTAGAACAATGGAATTTGTGAACAAAGTATTTTTGGCCAGCTAGATTGTATGAGTCAATTCACTATGTAACTTAGCAAACTATTAAAACCATATCATACTTATCAGGGCCAACAACACAGGTTTCGAAGTGGAGGGGCACAATTTTCAATTTCTAAAAAAAGGCCTTATCTAAAAATTTCTTTAAAAAAATTAGTAAAAAAGGTACCATCCACCCCCTCCGATTGTGTCGGCTCTACTTATACTTACTTTTTTAGTAGTTTATTTGCTATTTTTTTAATATCATTTGGTTTATAAAAATTCTTGTTGATTTTGTTTTTAGTGTTATCAAGATTTGGGATTTAAAGGAAAGAGCTAATGTTGCCAACTTTCCTGGTCATTCAGGTCCTATCACCTCCATTGCTTTTTCAGAGAATGGGTAATCAAAAAAAGGATTTTTTTTTTTTTTTAATTTCTTACTGTTGTTAAAACCTTTTTATTTGATGGATTTATTTGTTAAAATATTTTTCAATATAAATTTTTTTTTAGTTATTATTTAGCAACTAGTGCTGATGATTCCGTTGTTAAGCTATGGGATTTAAGAAAGTTGAAAAATTTCAAGACCATCACATTAGATGAAAGTGATGAGGTCTGTGTTTTTGTTTTACAGAATTTTATTATAATTTGTTACAAAGCTACAGTTTTAAAAAATTTCTATACTTATAGATTTGTAAACTTTTAGTGCTTGAAGGATGTTTAATAACATTTTAAATTAAAAATTATTTTTTATAAATTGCTTTGACATTTTACTTAATTTTTTTCTTAGTATATAAATAAAAATCAAAAGAACAAAAATTTTATGGAATAATATCTTGTTTAATATCCGTGTCATTTTTTTGTGTGTGTGTATGTCAATTTTGTGTAGGAAGCAATATATGCAACCCCATAATTATTATTCAAGTGTTATTAAGTATGGTTTGTATCTAATTATTAAATATGTTTTGTAATTAAATATATGTTCAATTAATTAAGTTGTTCATTATTTTACAGATTAAATCGTTAGCATTTGATAAAAGTGGTAATTATTTGGCTGTGGCTGGTACAAACATTCAGTAAGTTTTTTTCTTATTTTTTAATTTTATATTATCTTTTGGACTTAACACTCTAATTTTTTTTTGTTTTGTTTTGTTTTAATTCTTTGTGTACTTTACACTCTTTTTTTTTTAGAATATATGTAGTTAAACAATGGGATCTTCTACGAACTATTACAGGTTAGATTCTTATGTACAAAGTTTTGGATTCTTATGTACAAAGATAAAAATTGCCTTTTTACAAAAGGTAAATTTTCATTACCTTTCCAAATAAATCCCCTACCCAACGTTGGAACAAATTAAATATGCTGCACTATATCAATTTTTTTTATCAAATCATTGTTGTGTTTTTTTTTTGTTTTTTGTTTTGTTTTTTTATTAAATCGTTGATATTTTTTAATAATTCAAAAAGGAATGTTATTAAAATTATCATTTATATCTGAATATTTTTTAAACGAATGTTTACAATATTATACTTATATAGATCCAGTTGATATAAAAAAAAATATTTTAATTAGAAAAAGTATATTAAGAAATAAAAACAAGACAGTTAACAAGACAAACAAATGTTTGGGTTTATTCTAAAATAGAAATGTTCGCTTTTAAAAAAAACTAATTTTTATCAATCATTTAATAAAAAAATCCACTTTTGATAAAAATTGCCTTGTTTAGTTATAAAATTGGTATATAAAGTTGGTGTACCCTTTTTGAAAAAAACAAATTTTTTTCTACTTCAGCTTTTCTTAAAAATTTTGGCCCAATAAATGTTGCATTTAACGTCTATTATCCAATAAATGTTGTATTCAACATCTATGATCCAATATATGTTGCATTCAACATCTTCTATGATAGCAATAGAATGAATTTTGGTTTTAGTTTTTACACAATAAAATTTTACTAATGCAATATCGATGGTTTAATGAAAACATATTTTAAAATTTGAGATCCTTAACTAATTATTAGTTATTTATGAAGATCAGTAAAATTGTAATAATTGTTTATAATATCATTATTTATTTCTATTAGTATTTATGGTTAAAATTTCAAGAAGCAGCATTTTTACATGTTTCTTTTATTATCCTGATAAGTTTTTAGTTTATATATGACATAAAATATTATAAAGTTTAATATTGACAAAATGGTCTTCAAAGTTTTGCTATTTTACAATTTGTTGCAAAGAATTAAGTAAAACCCTGTTGTTTTTTAATTAAAGAATTTTTTTTTACTAAATAATAGTTACTATTTAATATTAGCAACAGTTTACAAAAAAACCTTTTTTGACATACTGGTTGTTTTTTAATTATTTAAACTTTTTGAACACCCTCAATTTGAAGTGGGCACGAATTTTATGTGGTCATAGTTTTTGAACGCTAAGAGATTCTTTAAAATTAATTAAAAAATTAATCGATAAATATAATTTGACAGTAAAGAAATTATTCTACCAACTTTTTCTTACTTTTTCTCAAGGGCAGGGGTGGCAAGATTTTTAGGGATATTTTGTTCTCGTGCTCTGATCATCGCATTTTTTATGCAAACTATCTTTATTTGACACAATTATAAACGTAAAAATGTTTGAAGTTTGCCCCATCTCTAAAAGTTAACTCAAACACCGAAAAATGCTGCTTATGCCACTAGTATAGTTATTTAACTTTTTTAATACTTGTTATTTAGATATTATTATTTTATGATATCAATGTCTTTGTTTATTTAGATCACACCGGTATAGTTACTGGAGTTAAATTTGGCAAAAATGCTTCCTTCCTGGCTTCGACTAGCATGGATAGAAATTTAAAGTATTACGCTCGATAAAGGGTTTTCTTTGTACAAAATCGACTTTTTAAATACTTCTTTGCTTTATTTTTATCTTTCTTGTATTTTTTGTTCTATAAAGTGATACATTTATTATTTTAACGCCCCGTATTCTTTAGTTGTTTATTCTGACAAAATATTAATAAATTTAAATTTTTAAAATAATAAATATAAAAGAATTCAAAATTAAACATTCTAAGCTTTTTTAGAACATCTATTATCCACTTATTTTGTTTAATACCAATGAATAAAGCATTGGTTTAATGCTATTATGTCTTTATTTTATGCTAGCTTTTAAAAAATTGCTTACAAGGGTTGTAAGGTTAGCAGAAATAGTTATTATTAAAACACAGACTTTATTTTTATCGATTACTATTACTATAATAATTAGCCTTTATAAAAGCAACAATGAGAGAAAAGATGGAGGGGGGAGGATGTTCTTAAACATTTATTAACTAACATTTTTGTGACTATGTTGCGATAAAAAGGTGCACTTTTGACTAGTTTTATTATTATATGAGTGACGCCTAACCAATTTCTGTAAATTTACGTTGGTTTTTGTTAATTTTAACAAAAAAGGTTAAATAAAAAAAAAAGAATTTAATCTATTAAAAACAATGCAAACATTGCTTTGACTATTAAATTGAAATAAATGGTCTTATAAAATTTATTACTATTGAAAAAAATTTATTTACTGAAAAGCAGTAAATAAATAACAAATATAAGCAGACACTAACCCCTGTCTGCTTTTATTTTTTAAAATTAAAATTGCAGTTTTGCGTTAAATTCCTTTATGTTTATATAAACTTATTTAAGATTCTGTTGTTGTTTTTTACTTTTGCCTTGCATAGTTTGAGAGATACATCGTACTTAAATAAATAAATATAAATTTTACTCAAATGCAAAATAAAATTTAAACATGCATGACTTAAAACAAAGCATTTTTTCATAAAGATTGATTAAATGTAATTTAAAATATTTTTAGTTGAGTAAATAAAATCTTTTAACTAATTTTTAAAAACAGGATAAGTTAGGGGTAAGTCGAAGTAAGGCAAATCAATTTTGTTCCAGAGATGAGCCGCACGATTAGCGATTCGAAATTGATTGAATTTTGTTTGACAGAATGATTCATTTAAATAATTATTATTTCTTATGTTAAACTTGCTTAATGGTTTAAAAATTAAAGAAGATAAATCATACTTTCACATATAAACAAAAGATAAATTTTTCTATGCGTTTAGTTTAGATATATCGAGGATTTTCATTTGATTAAAAAATATTGAGAAATGTGCGATCCGATCTGCAGAATTAAATAAACGGATCACATGTTTCTGACGGCGATGAAGACACTGAAACTTACTTTAGTCAGTGCTTCCCCAGGCAATAACTCCATAATTTATTTAACTATGAATAAAAGATTAATAAAGTTTAGTAAAATTATTTTTATCTAAATAAGCACGAGCGTTATATAAAATTCCAAAACGTTTTGAAACATTCGAGCAGACATAGTTAATATGATGCTTCCATGTGATGTTCTCAGCAATAAAAACACACTGGTATTTAGTTACAGGATCTCTTTTAATTTCGATTTGGTCAATAAGAATATTTAAAAAGTTTTTTGGAGAGCGGGTTAAAAAGAATCTCTTTTGTTTTGCTTACATTTAATGTTAACTTGTTACTTTTAAACCATTCAGATATGTTTTGAAGTTTTTTGTTCATCGTGAAAAATAGTAGATAGATGTAACTGTTAGAGAGAAATAAGTTTGTGTCATCAGCAAACATAATATTTAAAAGATTTGATGCTTTGTGCAAGTCTTTGATATATATTAAAAACAAACAAGGGCCGAATATGGAACCTTTTGGAGCAACACAGGAAATATTTAAAAACTATTTATGATAAAGTCCATTCCAAGAAACAAATTGTTTTCTGTTAGATAAATAATTATAAAACTATTTAATTACTTTTTTATTTATTCCGTAATAATTAAGTTTATAAGTATATAGCAAAATATAATGATCGACAGTATCAAATGTTTTTGAAGGATCGATAAAAATTCCTAATGTGAATTGAAACTTTTCAAAAGAATTGTATATATACATTGACGTACTATACTATTAGACTAACTTACATATTTAAAAGTTTTATTTTGAAACGATAAATCTTTTAACTCGTATTTTATCTAACATTATTTAAACTGACAGGGCGACAATATACTGAAATATAGTTAGTTTGGTACCATTAGTTACTCTAGCGCAACAAAATATATATATTGTATAACTAAATTTATGTTAATCTTTTTACAAATGCGTAATTTTGAAATTTTATTTTACAATGAATGCGCTATTTATGTATTTTACATGGTATTTTTTTATATTTGAATGTACGTAGTTTAAAATGTCATTGTATTGTGCATAGAGGGATTCGAATAAACAATCCAGAAAGTTTTTTGAAACAAATTCTAAAAAATCAATGAAAAAATACAACGAAACCATTGGAACAATCTTGGTTGAAAGCATCAATGTCAACAAGTATTTTGAGAGATTTTTCGATAACTTTCTTGAATTCATTTTAACACTGATTATAGAAAGATGAAGATTTTTACGAAAATCCAGTAGAACAATTTGCTTTTTTTATTTCCTTTGTTTTTGAATAGCATTAACATAAGGTATCAAGCTATTTTCAATATCATTTTTTGTATTTTATAATTTGAAAAAGTAAAGTCAAAGTTTAGATTTTTGTCTGAAGTGAAGTGTTTGATAATATTCTTATGGTTACCAATCTCCTAATCCTAATCAACTTTTACCAATGAATTAGTAACAGTTTTAACCCCAATCACGATAACGTTAAGGGTCTAATTCAATTTAAAATCATAAATAAATCATTGACTAGTTTATTGACCGCCACACCTAACTTTAATTAATCAATTTCGAGAGTTGAATAAAGAAAAATAGCAGCAATACAAAAAGAAGAAACCTTTCATCAGATACTTTGGTAAAATAATTTCTACAGATTAAACAAAACAAATACGAAGCTAATAAAAATTTAGCAACACAACACTACCATTATCATACTCTTAACTTTTTTTGCCGCATTATAATATTTAAAAGATTTATAATTTATAATGTAGTATTGGTAGGGCTTCAAATAAATCTTAATGACCTTACAGATAATAATGGCTTTATCACGAAGTCCTTTAAAATATAAAGATCTATTGTCTTTTTCAAAATGAATATCTATTATCCATACAATAATGAATATATATCTTAAATAGACTAGATTAGAGTTGATTCTGAGTTTAATACTGTACTGAAATATCTAAATTGTACTGAAATAATCAGTGGTTGTTTCAATAAAACAAATTAATTCAGTACATTATCTCTTAGTCTCTTTTAAAACTTCTTTAGGATTTTGCTCAATCGGTTTATTTCAAACTATTTTAAATAAAATTTAAAAACGACCTTAATTCAGACACAGTGAAGTATACAAGGAGGGAGGGGGTGTAAGGGGTACCCATTTATTGTCAGTATTGAAAATAATTAAATTAAAATAAAACTTAGACCTTTTTGTCCAAAACCTGGACTTTGTATAACCTGGACTAATTTTACAAGTAAAACTAACGCAGAAATTAATAAAGAAAATTCAATACCCGCCACGACAATGAAAAAGATGATGGCTGTTTGCCTATAGACATTGTAGCATCTTTAACACGTCAGGTAACTGAACAAGATAAATACCGAATATTGCAATGCAATTGGTTTTCCAGCGCAAATTACAACTATTCTGTGCATTTAAAGAAGGGTAAGAAGGTTAATTGCTTTTTGTCCGAGAAACATAAATTTGCGTGGATAATGAGTTCAGAGTGCCTATATGGAATTTTTCTGTAAGTATTACTTTCTTTTTACAAAAGTTGGGGGAGTATACAGTCAAGTGCAATTACTCAAGATAGTTACTTTCCCTCTTAAAAGTTATTCAAAGCTTTTAGGTAAGGATCGCGACTTGCAATGACATGATTGCAATGTCCATCTACAGATGTACGTAATTAAGTTAACGAAGGAAGACTTGAACTGGGCTAAAGAAAATCGAGAACAATTAAAGCCTATAATTGAATCTATAATATTTCTTGGTTGACAAAATATTGCTCTGCAAGTTCATCATGATGATGGGCAGATCTTTGAAATAAATCAAAACTCTTTAGTAATTAATGATGGCAATCTTCGGGAATTGCTTCGCTTTCGTATGAGCGCGGGGAACAATATTTAAAAAACTATTTAAATAACTGTTATTCTAAAGCAATAAGTGAAAGTATTCAAAATAAAAAACATAAGTAAAAGTATTCAAAATAAAATAATTGAACTATTTAATCAACAAATTTAGGGCTTAATTAAAACAAGAATTTTTTATAGGAAGCAATGGATACCAGTCATAGTTCTCAAAGACAGTTGTATTGAGATATATTGGTGTTAATACCTGTAAAATATGTGAAGATTTTATTGGTTTTGTAAACTGCCATACTGATTTTACTTACGATCCTGTATTAACTGGAGAACTGCTTTTGTCATTGACAAAAGCAGTTCTCCAGTTAATACAGGCAATAAAAAGTCCATGTTACAATCATGCTTAAAACTTATCAATTTCCAAATGTTCGTCTGTGTGAGCTGTAAAAAATACAATTGGCACAATCAAAGAAGTAATATCATTTGTTAAAGCTTCGCCGAAGAGAAGAAACGTTCTTAAATATATAAATAAGAGAATGCTGACAAGCTTATGCGAAACAAGATGGATTGAACAACTTGATTCTGTGTTAAGTCTTAGATCTTATTTAATAAATATAGAAGAAACACTTATTTGCTATCTCAGTGGAATGAACGGGATTCTGAGCCCTTATTTGTAATAGCACTTTTTTCATTAGCCAATGTGTTAAATACCACAATCTCTTTAAGTGAGGCTCATCAAAAAAAATTATTGGATTAGAAATATGCCAAAACTATTTTCAACATACCATGAAGATATTAAATAAAAGAGGACAGAATGAAAAAAACTTTAATGCTATATT